CACACACACACACACACACACACACACATATATGTATGTTAGAATATACATACATACATTGTATGTGTAAGGGGTATAATGAGGACCCAGGGGCCCACACTGGAAAGCAAGGGTGGAAGATTCCTCTGATGCGCTTCCCTTGCTGGGAACCTCCAAGGCTCCAGCAAATTCCGGACGGAGGTCTTCCATGTGAAGTACCGCAAGCCGGACGGGAAGCACCACCCTGACGTGTTTAAAGGCATGTTGATGTCGGTGACGGCTGTGCCGAGGGAGTTGGGATAGCATTAAGAGTGTTGAAAAAGGGTCTTTGCCAGCGCCCCGGAATGCATTCAAAACTCAGTTGCCGTCGAGCATGGCGAGGCAACCGCTCGCAAAACCCTAAGCTGCAGAAACTCCCGCAAACTGAGCTTGAAGGACGGAAAGACCAGCCACCTCATCGGCCTGCGTGACTTCACGGACCCACGAAAAGTTGGAGTTGCGGGCCTGAGGGCGAAAGCATCCGAACCGGCCTTGACAAGCCCAGACACCCCAGAAGCCTCAGCCCGGTACAGCTGCTTCGCCTGCCAAACTTGCATCCTCAACCCTAAACCCTAAACCCTAAACCCGGAACACTAAACCCTAAACCCAAACCCAACAACCCCAAAACCCTGCACCCCTAAACCCTAAACCCTAAAAAAAAAGCCCTAACCCTCAAACCCTATCCCGAAAAGCCTCCTTTTGGGGAGAAGAGGACCAGAGCTCACTGCGCCGGGAGCTCACGCCCGGGGAGCCGCCGGCTGCCCGGGCGCTCGACCAGGATGCCGTTTGAGGATGTCTTGTTTTAGGGTTTAGGGTTGAGGGTTGAGGGTTGAGGGTTGAGGGTTGAGGGTTTAGGGTTTAGGGGTGCAGGGTTTTGGGGTTGTTGGGTTTTCGGGTGTTGAGGTTTTAGGTGAGAAGGGTTTAGGGTTTTGGGGGCAGCTGCTATGTCGCGCCCCGGCAGGCCCAATACCCCCCTTCATGATCGCACATCCCCCTCGCGAAGTGGCCCAGGTTCGGGACAACAGCAGTGCTCGCTTGTTCTCCAGTATCACCAGCCGGGGTTCCGCGGCCGAGGAGCCTGCAAACGTGGTGCCGTCCCCTGAGGGTTATGTCAGAGAGCTCAGGAAGCCGTCGTTGCCGAAAGAGTTGCTGCCTTTACTCGGCCAGTGCTTTGCCGCAGTCCGATCCGGCCCAAGTAGAGGGATGAACAAGAAGCAGTCAACAACACCAAACAAGGACTACAAACAGCTACAGAATACTTATAGAGAATCTACGCCGAAGTGGGCATAGTGCCATCTTCGCCATGGCAGCTCCGACTGCCGTGGCAAGTCAAGACGATGGCGAGGCTCAGCGTGCAGAGGACGTTGGCAAGGCAGCTTTGGGGTTGATTGATGTAGAGCGTTCCCAAACAATCTTCAAGCTGGAAACAAGCTCAGTGTATGGGAGCGGATTCGCATTCCCGCAGATTGCCAGAAGCTCTGGCTACCAGAGCGTGTTTGTCACGCTCTGGATAAGGTCCTACCTAGCATTGGCTCTGAACTACGTGGTGCAATTTGCGCTCGTGATGTTTGTGGGTGAGGCGACCCAGATCATGAACCCGCTGGGCGGACAGATGCACCTTTGCGACTTCGGCGCAGACTTGGACATCTGCAAGGGCCCAGAGGCACCCTTCCAGCCACGATGCACGGGTCCGGGGGGCACCCAATTCTCGCCTTCACGACTCTATGGCTACACCCAGTGGGCTGTGCAGAAGTTCACCAAACAGGCACTGGTGGATGTGCTGCCAGACCAGGAAGACCTCATCAACGAGAAGGTGGATCCAGGAGAATATGGGCTGGAAAACCGCACCTGCCGTTGGGTGTGCTTGCTTCTGTTCGCACTGGCAGTTAACCACGAGATCCAAGTTTGCTTTCGCATGATGGCTATGCTCTGGTTCCTGCCGCACGCCCCAGACAAGTGCGACTGGATCGAGATCGACAAGAAAAACAAGAACAAGGCTAGCTACCGCATTGCAGGCATGCCCACCCATTGGAAGCTCATCACAGCCCTGACAGTTTTGATCCCCAAGGTGACGCTCTGCTACTTTGTTCTCTTGGAGGGCACGACCCTTCTCATGGATACGTCGGGCATCTTGGACACGGTCCTGGGGGCCATGTCGATGGCTTTCATCTTGGACGTCGACGAGATGCTGCAGGACTTGCCGCGGTGTTTTTGCCGGACATCTTGCTTTTTGCAAAGTGCTCTTTCGGAAACAGGGGTTTTAAGGTGGGATGCACTTGCAAATGAGAGAGTGGAGTCGTGCTCCGTCGCCGTAGAGCACTGCTCTGATGGCGAGCTGTTCCCCAGTCGGTTCCCGATGCTGAAAGCACCAGGGCTCCTGCAACCCAGCGAGTGATGACTCAAGCTTCCGACCGTTGCAGGTAGACTCACCTGCGCATCCGCTTTATAAGAGCCCAGTAGCTCAAGCTCACGAGGTAACTCCTGAACTTTTTCCCGGTCCTTGAGACGCCTAAGCCAACCAGATCCATGCACTGACACTTACGCTCACGCTGCAGTTTTCGCCAAAAATGGAAATGGCAAATTCGAAAGTCACTTACCCGTCTATTTCGCAAAAAATCAGTGACTTCGTGACAGCTATGTTGAAGCGTTGTTTGTGCCTGTCTGCTTGGCGGGTGGCAAGCAAACCCTAACCCTAAACCGTGATCAGCTAGGCGGGTGGCAATTAAAAAACTGTGAAACCCTGCCATTCAGACATCAGAGACAGCCTGAAACCCTAACCCCTTGCTACAGGACTGCATGATCACACATGCTGGCCGGAGCCTTATCCAAAAGATCCAGGAAATCAGGGAAGAATCTGATCAAGAAGATGCTGAAGCTGGTCCAACGTACCATGTCAAAGGCCCCAGATTCCTGGATCTCTTGAGGCAGGTGGTCCCGTTTCGCCTCCTTGTGACCCTGGTGATTATGGCCGTTTTCATCGACCGGTACTACCAGTTCAAGTGCGCCTATCAGGATGACCTGGGCATGTGGGTCTCGAAGGACATGTACCTCCCAGCCAGGGCATCCTACTCGATCACGGATTTCTTCTTCAACGGCATCTTCCACACGGTGGAGAAAAGCTCTGAGCCTTTCTGGACGATGCCCACGCCGCCAGCCCTTCTCAAGTAATTCAGGCGCTTGTGCGTATCAACTACGTATACATATTTTTAGAGACACATAAGCATGTGCCAATAAGATCTAAAGTATGCATACACATACATACATATACATCATATACATACATACATACATATATATATATATATATATTTGTGCATATATACAGATATCGAGTCAGCAAAGTTGCATGGGCCTTACTTCGTTTCCTGGACTCCTGCAATGCGAATCGGCTTGCAGGAGGCCGAGCATCCCATCATCCTTTAGAGGGCAGCTCCTCAACGCGTTACCATTAAGGATTCGGGGTAGCCTATACTAGTCTTAGGTGGTTCCTAATACTTGGGGGTCTAACATGTTACAATTGATTTGGGGTGTGTTCAACTTCGGCTCAGGGGTCTAATATGTTGCAGTTTTTTGGGGTGTGTTAATGCAGGGGACCCCGCTTTTTACGGGGAAGGCATTGATAAAACAGCCCCCCCCAGCTTGCCAAAAGGCCAAAAGCCATGTGCAAAAATTGGCACTTATTAAGTCTCACACGTCCCTTCGGCGCCGGACGAATCAGCAGACTGACACGAGGAACAAAAGCCGTCCAGGTTCACCCCCTCTTGTGGTCATCGCCTGTGGTGCTGCACTCATGCTCACGCAGCTGTGGAAAACCTGTTGTAGAATTCTTGCCGGAAAAGCCTCATAAACCCCTTGTGCCAGCGTGAGAGTCGAAGCCCTTCTACACATCCCTTGCTTTGTCCTTACAATCCCACGTCCAAGGTGTCGCTGCAGCTCGATGTGGCTCGGCTCCATGAGTCATCGGCTGAACCCCAAGAAGCTCTAAACCCGTACTTGGCCTGTCTCACTTGTCTTAGTGCCTACACAGACCAACGAACCTTGCCTGCCTTGTGTGAGAGTGAGCGACTAAACCCGTCCGGCTGAATCCTCGGGTGCGAGAGTCGAATCCAACCTTCAACCCGCAACCACAAGCCCTATACCGGGTAAAACTGGGAATCCCTTCGGACTGGTTCGTCCAGCTATGCGGGGGGCAAAAAAAACCGGGTGACAACAAGGAAAAGCCTAAACCCAAATCGAGAAGTGCACCAGAAAAAACCCCAAACCCCGAACGCCTAACCTAAGCGGAAATCTATCATTGAGATCTCGCCCTTTCCTGTGGATGTTCTGTCGGACCAGCTGGTGAATTGGGATGTCGCCCGGTCGTTCTAGTGCTGCCCGTGAGTTAGTCCCGATGATGTGCTCAGACGTCAGAGAGAGGGCCGAGGGTGACCCTAAAGCCTCAACCCCAAACCCAAGCCCCGAACCCTAAACCCTATAAACCCCTAAACCCCAAACCCTAAACCCTAAACCCCCAAGACCTCCCTGGTTCTTGGAGCCGCGGGTGCCTATCTCTGACAGCTTCTTCTATTCCGTCGCCCTCAACTTGGGCAATCGAGTCCTACTTACAAGGGGTACCCCGCTTCCTCCCTCTTGAGAATGCAGGTGAGTCTTAGGAAAAAGAGGTTTAGGTTAGGGCAGGGTTTAGGGTTTAGGGGTGGCATACCAGGCAACGAAATCCACCCTCAACCCTCAGCCCTAAACCCAAAACCCCTAAACCCTAAACCCTAAACCCCTAAACCCCAAACCCCAAACCCTAAACCCTAAACCCCAAACCCCGAAACCCAAAAAACGTCCCCGCGATGGTTGCAAGGTGGAGAGTATGACCGTCGAGGCTGCCTCCGCAGCAGCCCTCGGCTGCTCTTCTTCGAAGTGTGGGTTTAGGGTTTAGGGTTTAGGGTTTAGGGTTTAGGGTTTAGGGTTTAGGTTTAGGGTTCCTCCAAGTTTCCCAAAAAAGGGGGCGTTTTGGGTGCTGAAGGCTATTTTGTTCAGGATTTGAAAAGTCAAAAGGGTGGAGCGTTTGAGCGTTTAAGGGTGCAGGGTTAAGGGCTGTGAGAGCCTGGATGCAAAAAAAGGGTGCAGGGTCCAATAGGGTTTAGGGTTTTGGGTTTGGGGTTTAGGGTTTGGGCTTTAGGGATGTTAGAGCCGTAGCCATTTTGGCTCAAGGGTTTCGGCTTAAGTTCCCCGTTTGTTCGAGTTGGTTCGCTTGACTCCTAGAACCCATGGCTGATCATGGGTCGGATGGTTTCCCACTGGCTGCTACTCAGCATGATGAGTTTGATGAGCGATCTACCAGTCCCCCAAAACGCACCAAGAGGGATCCCCCTGATGCTGATGCTCTTCTAGATGAACTTCTGAGTCAACAGGCCAGGCATGCAGAGATTGTTCCAGCTTGGGTTTCGTCACTACAGCTATCAGTCCAGACTGGTTTTGCAGAAGTGAAGCAGAGCTTGAATGATTACAATGCCAGACTGACGCATGTTGAAGCTATCACTTCCCAGCCAGCGCGCGATCCTAGAGTCGATGCTTTGGTTGACAAAGTTGATATGCTGACGAAGGCGTTTGATGAACAGAAGAAGAATCAGGCAGCAAGCACACCCAACTCCACGCCTGACCGGTTCCAAGGGGCTGGGATGCATGGCTCAGATGCGTGGTCTGTGTACTTGGCCAACCAACACAACAGGTCAACAGCATCCGGTTCGGCAGGACCCGCGCAGAACCAGAAGAGCCATCCTGCGTTCCACTCCACTCCTCCAAGGCTCCAGCAATCCGAGTTCGCGGACCTTACATCCGATACGAATTTCAACCATGTGATTATAGGCGGATGGCAGTTCGACACGCCGCGGCGTTTCATCTTGAGTGATATGGACTCTTTCTTGAAGCGTTTTCGGGATCCACTCCAACACTGTGTTGAACGCACAGTGGTATATGGCCAACGTGCACAGGTAGGTCATCTCTTCCTCAAACCATTGACGCCAGAACTCGCAGCAGAACGTTTCTATTCCTTACAGGATCGTTGCTCGAATTGTGCTCAGACAGCCAGTGGTGACAATATCTGGCTGGCACCTTCGAGAACGGCTGAGCGTAGAAGCAAGAACCGTGCCACGAGACGCGCGTGTGATTTTCTCTCCTCTCTTTGGGCTGAGGGTCACAAGCCTGAGTTGGAGATAGGTTGGGGAAGGCAAGTTGTCTGGATCTCAGGCAAGCGTGTTGCATCAGGGTCGGCATCCGCCTTGTTTCCGACGACGGGTGATAAGGTTGTCTCCAGAGTTTTCGAGCATGATGGAGACATCGCAACTTTCCACTTTAACGTTCATGTGCTTCAGACCTTAACGGGCAAGACTCACGCCGAAATCGAAGCCAGTTTGCAATCCTATGATCGCTGACTTGCAGAAAGGGAGCCAAGTACTGATGTCTTTTACTGTGACTCCTGGAATGTACAGGGTAGGTCCTTGCCTATCATCTCGGATTGGCTTCTTTTGCATGAGAATGGTCCCGAATTTCTGGCTTTGCAAGAAGTTGGTGGTACAGGCTCCCTTGCGTCAGCCCTAAGGGAAGCATCGAATTCAGAGCCATTGTCCGAGTATTCACTCAGTGATTGCGTGTGTTCTTCCTACTATGTTTTGGGTACTGCTGATTTGAACTCGTATTTGGCACAGGTGATTCTTCTTTCCAAAGGCAGCGTTGAGTACATTGCTGATACCTACAAAGGGGAGAGGATGATTGGTGTCAAATATGCTTCATCCGCTACTCATAATTTGCGTTGGATCTTTACGGTACATTTACCCCATGGCGACAATAGCGATGCAATGTTTGAAGATGCGCTTGCGGAGCTCACACGTGTCTGCCAGGCATACTCTGAAACCGAAGCTCTCATCATAGGTGATTTCAATGCCGAGTTTGGCAGTCCCAGAGCTGTCCTACTCGACGCCGCACTTTCGCCCTTCGGCTTTTCGTGCTTTCGTTCAGATATACCCACCAGACATGGTTCTACTTCAAGTTCCAGCATAGACTACGCTTACATCAGCCGTGCTTTAAAGTCCCAGACTGTGTCTACGCCTGTTGGTCAGAATCAGCTCTTGGTGCATTGTGGATCCCGGCATGACATTCAGTCTGATCATGATCGAGTCACGCTGGCTTTGCACCTTGGTGCGGCTGCTCCTAAAAGGACCAAACGTCGCAAGCCGAAAGCCAGGGCACGATGTGCTAAGTGGCTTGCTGGTTCTAATTTGCCTGAATGCCTGGCTGTCGTGCGGCCCTCCTTTGAAACCCTTTCTCTCCAGGGTCAGTGGGAGTGCCTGCAGTCCCTTCAACAAGCTTCTTCGTACAACACCCCATCCAAGAAGTATAGAGACAGCCCCTACCTGAAGGATCTCTGTCACCAACGTCGTTTCTGCACTGATCTTGACAAACGGCTTGAACTCACGAGAGCTATCCTTGCAAAACGTCGGGCGGAACGACTGCTGTGGCTCCAGTCCCTTGAGGATGATGCCGCTTCTGGCGATGCTCACGCTATTAGCTACTTGAGAGCAAGGCTCAAACCTCATGGTGACTTTCAACCCCTTGTCAAAGACTCCGGAGGACTCGGAGAAGCAGCTGCTAGGGTCAAGCGTCACTTTGACACTCTTTTCCACCCTGATGTCCCACAGGAACAGCGCCAAGAGATTCAGGGTATACTCGAGTCCTTGCAGTTGGAGTCCGGCGCGCACATGCTTGCAGAGTTTACCGATGCGGAGATCCAGGAAGCACTCAACAAAGGCAAATCTGGTAAAACCTCAGGTCTTACTGGTATTACCTATGAATTGTTAGTGGCAATGTGGGGCGTTGAAGATGGAAGGACTATTCTCAGACAGTTCCTCAACAACCTTTTCACTGCTTCCCAACACCCGCAGGGCCTCTATCGTGCTTTTGTACTTCTCATCCCAAAGGTTGCCCAGGTCGCTGCCCCAACGGACATCCGCCCTATAAACCTAATTGAGGCATGCAACAAATTGTATTGCCACATTCTCTTACGGAGGTTGGTTGCATCGTGGTCAACTCCTCCGTGTCAGTGTGGGGGTGTTGCAGGTAGCCAGGTCCTTGATGCCCTTGCTACTGCACACTGGATGGTCTACAATGAGGGCGTTCTTCACCAACACAGAATATGGTTTAATGCTGATATCAGGTCTGCGTTTGATTCATTGCAGCATGTTGCAGTAGCTCGGTGGATCTCCGAGTCGACGCCCTCGCATCTGGCACGCGAAGCTTTGCAACTTCTGCGAGTTGTGCTGCAGCCACAGTTGGTGTTTGCATGGAAGGGGGTGCAGTGGGAAGTCAGCCAGGCCCAGGGTGTGCAACAGGGTCACACCTACAGTTCTGGCGTGTTCAGCTTCATCATAGGTCATCTTTTGCAACAGGAGTTCCAACGATGTCGTGCTGATGGTTTTGACTCTGTGGTAGGGGATTGGGGGTGGCTTTTCATTGACGACCTCTTGCTGCATTTTGATGACTGGAATACTGCCATCAAACTCCTTCCAAGGATACAGGATGCTTTGTCAGCTGTCGGTCTTGCGTTTAACTTGACCAAAACACAGCTCATGGCTTCTCCTGCTACGCTTGCAGCGGGTCGTGAGCTGGTTCTGCCTGCGGGCCATGTGTTGTCCAAAGTGCCGTGGGTTGATCTTACTCAGTACTTGCGCAAGCCATTGAGGCATCTACGTGTTGGCGAGAATCTGTGGCATCTTTGGCAACCCTTTTTCGTGCGTAGTGTGCATCACGGTTTGCAGCAGATGCTCCCAGTACTTCGTGGCCTCAATTGGTTACAGCCCAATTTGGCCTTGACCATCCTAAACCGTTACATCGGAAGTAAATGGCTCTGGGCTTCACCTGTCGTTCCTCCTACCGTGCATGCACTTGATAGCATTCGTACCCTGCAAGCTACTGCGTTGCAAACCCTGCTGCAGCTGCACATACCCACCTTGCTCCAGAAACCGCAGGCCATGGTCTTGCATAGACTTCGCAAACGTGCTGTATACCTCTTCCTCAATGACAAGATACCCCAAACATGGACTTTTCAGTGGCAGCTGCGTTTCTGGAACTACTTCGGCCATGTCTTGCGAAGACCACCTGAAGCGCCGGTGCGGGCAGCTGTCAGTTCAATGATCAGAATGCGGCGGCCACAAGGTGGCTTCCCGAACTCCCCGCTGGATTGGCTCCTGCGTTGTGCTGCCAAAGCTTTTAATGCAGTCGTCTCTCCGGTGGAGATATTTGCGCTGCCTGCCGACCGCCTGGCATGGAAGTTGCGTGGAGCCTGCTTCTTTGAACAACAGGCTCTGGCTCAGCTCCATAGTCGCGTCAATTCGGGCCTCTTTCCTCGATGGCAGGATTATGTATTGCAGCATGCAGTTTGGCTTTTCACGTGTACGCTCTGTGTGGGAGAGCAGGGTTTTGTACTTGTCTGGATTGATAATGAACAGGGCTTGCAGACTTGGACTTTGTGTGATGACCTGCAGATGGGCCTGTATCATTTTGCCATTACAGTGCGTATGCTGCATCCGTATTTCCTGCTGCATTGTGCCTTGGCAGAGGCACAGCTGGAGGCTCACTTACCAACATTGCATCGAGTCGCTGATGTTTTGCAAGAACAGTGTCAGATACTTCTCACCTTCAATGTCATACCTGAGCGATATATACGTAAAATTGCTACCCTTCAAGATTGATGTGAAAGCCTGCACTGGCTACAGTGTGTGTGCTTGCTTTTCCTGTACTCATCGACTCTTCTAAGAAGAGTTTCGGCATCCTGGCAGCAAGGAGTCCAGTTGCAAAGGGATGTTAGAGGCAGCAGCGTCTCCAACGATTTGAACAATGTGCAGACAACACCTGACTTGAACGAGTGTGTAGGTCGTTACTCTTCTAGTTTGTGCTCGGAAGTGGATCTGTGATGCATAGCGTCAGCACATGTCCCCTGAGCTGCCGGCATGCCCCTCAGCCCGTGCTCAAAAAGGGATGTTGGAGGAGGGCCGCAACCCGAAACCCTAAACCCTAAACCCCTAACCCCTAAACCCTAAACCCTAAACCCTAAACGCTAAACCCTAAACCCTAAACCCCGGAATGGCGACCTGCTTGTCATCGTCACTCTCTTGTTTCAGACCATGGAAGAATCTGCCAAGAGTGAACAGGACCATGAGCCGCCCACCTCCCTAAACCCTAAACCCGAAACCCGAAACCCTAAACCCTAAGCCCTCAATGAGCCTTCTCTGAATGCTGAGCAGGTTTGGTTGGCATGGACTTAGCCACATTGTTCCCTGGAGCTGGCGCGGAACTCTTGCAGGAGGTTTGGTCGAAGGACGTGCTCTTGCCAGCCTTAGGGCTTTGGCTTTAGGGTTTAGGGTTTAGGGTTTAGGGTTTAGGGTTTAGGGTTTAGGGTTTAGGGTTTAGGGTTCAGGGTTCAGGGTTCAGGGTTTAGGGTCGGGCCTCAGTCCTGGCAGGGTGAAGCAGCTTCCAGGTTCAAAGGGGTTTTAGGGTTTAGGGTTTCGGTCCATTTGCATAACAGCGTTTGTTGTGATCTGGTGCTGTCGTGGTGCAGTCGCATTCCCTTCTCAGGCAGTTGCATAGCGCGAGTCCAAAAAAGAGGTTTCTTGGGTTGATTTGGGGCCCTGTCAGGTTGCATATTCTGAAATTTGCCCTTATTGCTAGCATTATTTCTGAGTTTCAGTATTCTTGTTATCAATATTGCTGGTATATCTATGAAAAAAAACGCATGACGAACCTTATGGTTGTTCGTTCTTCTTTTCCCAGAAGGGGCAAGAGAGGGATTCAACACCGGCATCTGCCCACATGTACCAGGGTTTTTCCTGGGTTTGAGGTTTAGGGTTAAAAGGTATTTGGTTTCTGGGGTGAGTGTGCGTATCCCTCCTGGTCGTAGTAGGTGTGAGTGGATGTGGGATGTCCTTCGGGATGCTCGAGTTGCAAGACCCACTCCAGCATCTACTTTCGCCCCTCGGCCATCGGCTTTGTACAGAGATCTTGGGCGTCGTGCGCCCAAGACCCTCAACAGAGGACACCCTCATCTTGGGCTTGGGGCCACAAACCAGTACTGACGCTAAACCCTACAAACCGGGAATCCAAGACCGAAAGCCCCAAAACCTCCAAAAACCCGAGCACCGTCAGCACTAAACCCTAAACCCTAAACCCGCTGAGGCAGCTCAGGCCCGTGCATCCCTTGTGCTTGCAGGAGTCGCTTCGTATAAAGGCGGCAAGCTCGAGCCCGATCCGCCAGGACTGAAAGGTTCACGAAGTTCCGAAACGAAGGAGGGGCCCTTGAACACGACCCCCCCTTCCCCGGGCCTTGGACACTTAACGTCGATTCTGCGCGTGCTCTTTTTTCTTGGATTCTTCCCGCAAACCTCTCTGGGCCATGAATGGATGTCTGACGGACGAAATCGAAAGAGGGGGGGGAGCGTGACATTCGGTTGATGGGCAGGGGAGTGGGGGACACGCGCACTAGACAAGGGGTTCAACTGTTGGGGCACCTTCCGCGCCCTCCGCGAACGCCCTCCACGCCCTCCGCGCCTGTCCACGCCCTCCGCGCCCTCCGCGCCCTCCGCGCCCTCCGCGCCCTCCGCGCCCTCCGCGCCCTCCGCGCCCTCCCCGCCCTCCGCACCCTCCGCGCCCTCCCGCCTCCGCGCCCTCCGCGCCCTCCGCGCCCTCCGCGCCCTCCGCGCCCTCCGCGCCCTCCGCGCGCTGCGCGCGCTGCGCGCCCTCCGCGCCCTCCTCCGGGTGCATTGCGTCTGTTCTGCGGTGCGTTGCGTCTATTCTGCGGCCTTTGTAAAGTATTTGTTTACAAGGCACGCACGTGCAGCATGGCCTTTAAGTGTCCATCTTACCCCCCCCCCCCCCACCAAAAAACAAAAACTAGAAGGCTGAGAGGCACCCCCCCCCCCAAAGGGCACCCCTAGTTTTTTCCGCAAGCGCCCCTTTTTCGCCCCCTGAGCCTCGAAGCTGCACACCCCACACTGGTCAGAACCCCTTTCAAACCGGCTATCTGGAGATGTAGTAGGTCCATGGGCAGAGGGGAGGGGAGACTTGTGTACTTTTTTTTTTGGTTATTGTTTCCGCTTTGCCTTTCCTTGCCTTTCCTTGCCTTGAGTTTGGTGGTAGCCCATGAGGACATGCAGCCCTACATCTTCTTCTTCACGAAGATGCGTGCCCAATGGCACGTGGATTTTTCGGATCAAGTCGACGGCTCCGTGGAGGTCGGGGGGCATAGGGAGAAGATTCAACCGGGTTTAGGGTTTAGGGAGTTTAGGGTGGAAAAGGGGGGTTGTTTCAAATTTCATTGGGAGTGCCCTTGCAGCCTCGAAAGAAGCAGCGTGCCCCGGGACCTTCAGAAAGAACGACCGCCACAAGCGCAGAAAGCCCCCCAATCGGGGCATTAAGTCCCGCTGCGAGGCTCTTCGCGCGATGCAGGGGCCTGTCAAGCTGCTGATGCGCTGCCGCGGGAGCCTGCCAGGCACTTCCTCCAGCTTGGGCCAGGCCGCCAGCCGTAGGGATGAGCTTGTGATTTTTTTTTGGTGTTCGCAGCCTCTCGCAGGGAGCGCGCGCAGAACAAGGAGTGAGTGAGAGAGAGCAAGGGGAAGAGAAGGCTTCGGAAAGGGGCTTGGCCTAGCATAAAAGGGTCTTTTTATGTAAGGGGTTTCCCTTTTTCCGTCTCTCCACGCCCTCGGAGAGGCCTCCGAAGGGAAGGTTCTGCCGTTGGTACCCGGCGGGGTCGAGGACGACGTGCGGTTCTTGGCCTGAGAGTGGAGCCAAAGCAAAGGATGCTCGGGAAAGTGAGCGTGGCCATCACTGAGTCTTTTGTCACCTGAGCCCCCGAACAAGCGGCGTGGGAGTCGGTGTCATCCCCCCACAGCAGTCAGATCTTCTGACCTTTTTTTCTAACACGATATAGATTTGCATACAGTCCCCAGTACTCTTGCAGACGGCTTGAAGCTGTCAGTTGCACGTGACCTGGGCCATAACAACAGAAGTGCTGTGAATCATCTCGGAGCGTAGCCGTCGCCAACGCTTCGCCTGCGCGGTTGCCACACGCATCTTTTGAGGTGTTCCTGGCGCAGTTTCCTCACAGAAAGCTTGGATTGGAGCTTCAAACCCCGCGATATTGGCCGATCAGACCTTCGCTGGGCGTCTCACAAGGGTAACGGACTCGGCAGGACCTTCAGGGCCAAGCTCTGTTGGCCTGGCATTCGTCCGCTCTCCAAAATGTATTTCGGGGTACATGTTGGGCCCCGAAAAGCCACAACTTGGAGTTGCCTTGGAGCCGGCGCTGCTATGTAAGTGGAGAAGTGAAAAGTAAAGACATACCTCGGGCCGGGGGGGCTCTATGATGAAACCAACAGGGTTGTGTTTTTGGCGCCATGTACCTTCCTAGCAGCTGTCGTAGTGGCCATATGAGGCGCAGTCGGCTCCGTCGAGGCAGCTCTAGGCTTGAGGCAGCTCTTTGCTTGAGGCGAGATGCTATAAACGCCGCCTCTCTCTCATCACGACCGTGAACCGGGTTCAACCCTCTTGCGGACGAAAGCCCGATTTCTTCAGTTTTATTCTCTCAATCAAGACGCATACCGTTTCTGAGTGCGTAGCTTTAAAACACTGGGTGTGTTTTAGACGCAAAAAAGTAGGGCGTTGACATAATGGTGGCAAAGAAGTTGTAATCTATGATTCTATGATGGTGTAGTTGCTGTCGTTAGTTCTGCAGTCAGGAATACTTTCGAAATTGAATCTGTGCAGAACAACAAGTGTAGATAGAATAGAAGCTCGCTCTTCTTGCAGTAATTTGTACTGTAAATTCTCCTCTCCAAACAAATTTTTGCAACACCATCAAATATTGTAACAGCATGGGCAAATTCAGGATGCCCAAAGGCAAGCAAGGACAAAGAAGTTTGATTTAGCCATGTGCACTACTCTGCCCTGCACTATACGCCAGGTCTTATCCCTAAACCCTGAACTCTAAACCCTAAACTCTGTGTGAGTGCCGAAAGCCTAAACTCTAAACTCGAAACCTAGAAGTTTTCATTGACGAGACTCTTCGGGTCTCAGGGCTTGGTCTGAGCTCCTTGATAGTCCTTGTGTCGTACTTGCCGCACCAGGACTCCCCCCACGATTTTGGTTATAGGGTTTCGGGTTTTGGGTTTCGGGTTTAGGGGTCGAAGAAGGGTTAGGGAAGTTGAATGTGTGCTGGCAGCCTCACAGTCCGTTGCTCAATGGGGTTTAGGGCTCTGGTGGCGCGCGTGCTACGCGGGTCAAGTCGAGTTCCCGCGCAGTCGTCGTCATGGAGTTGCGCTCGCCACCCGCATCTCGTAGTGGACGAAGAGCTCTGACCCCTCACTGGATCATCCAACCCTAAACCCTAATCCTAAACCCTGCAAAAAACATTACACCGCAGAATACCGCAGATTCATCCTCTCCTGTTGGGTGCCTGGTGGTAGGACTTGGAGTATGTTAAGGAGGTTCCCCCGATCTGGGGAGAGGCAACTAAAGCACATCATGGACAGCGCCATGGAAGATGGGCGCTCCCTCGTTCGAGGCGCAAAGAAGGAAAACAAACCGTGTTTCTGCTGGGTTCTTGCTAGGCAACTTACGTGCCACAGTAGGGTCATCTAGCAAGGAACGAGGCATACTCCACTTTCCTTATGACAAGAACCCCATTTCTTCGGCCCTAAACCCTAACCGAAGCACCTCAGGAGCGCCCAGCCCACCTATCATTTTAGTCTTCTGTTCTTATAATTACTTTAGTTTTTGAAATTTCCCCTTCTACATGTATTAATATTTCAATAACCGTACTATTGTATTACTATACTCTTATAAGTTTACTTTTGTATTCCTCTATTCTTATGTGAACATGTTGCTGTATGCCTATGTTCGCAGATTCGCATATTCCTGCATATACTTACCCTAAACCCTGAGGCAACAAAAGCCCCCGGTGCCCCCCCCCCCCCCCCCCCCCCCCCCTAAGCCTTAAGCACCAAACCCCCAACCCCAAACCCCAAACCCCAAACCAAAAACCCGTAGAGCATAGCTAGACGGGTGGCAAAAAAACCCTCAACCGCCTAAACCCCAAACCCCAGACCTTAAACCCTAAACTTAAACCCCAAAACCGATGACAAATCGACGACAGTTCGACCCTGCAAGGCCTGGCAACCGGGCGCTCGGACGAGGCAATCTTGCATGGGCCTCTGGGCCCCTGATGCCCGATCATCTACAGTACATTGCCACTTGTGGAGATGGGAGAAATGCACTAAAGCCTATGAGAAGGGATTTCCGTGCTGCCCCAGGAGTAGAAAAGAATACTTATATGTATATATATATACACATATGTTATGAATATTTCGTACTATATAGTTATGGATGAGTGTATATCTTATCTGTGTTATGCATAACTTATGCGTGCGTCGTACTTCGACATTGCCTCCCCGTCCGCTTCTTTCAGCGACTCGCTTCCCTTTTCAAGGGCACATGCAGCAACTATTTGCGCCCCTGCCCTTTGGGTCTTCTGACAGACTAAGGCCATCCCAAGCCCGTAAAATATCATACCTCAGCCGGCTTGCCCAGCCGGTTTGCCCCTTTACGTGCCAGCCCCACAATTTTTAACACGTGGTTTGCAGCTTGTGTGGACAATTTTTGTGTTGATGGCCGGGCTTGTTTCGATGGTCAGGTTTGCCGGTTCGTTGTTGCTTTTCCGAATGTCGGGGTCGAGGTGAAAAAAAAGCTAAGCAGCAAACAAGGGCGTAGGTGCAGGTTTTTGGGGTTCAGGACTAGGGCGCGTTTTCCCATGCGTCCGGTTGAAAGGGGTTCTTGAAGGAGGGATGGCTGAACCGTGCCAGACCTGAAAAAGACCCTCTGACAGACACAACTACACCCCTTTCTCGATCTGCTTTGCAAAGTCGGAGTTCCGTTGCGTGATGTGCGGTTGTTGGGGTTTCTGGGTTTGGTTCAGGTGCCGGCTGCGGTCAAGACGCGGGCGCCCTGGCAGCGGCTCTTTCAACCCTATAACCTCATAGCCTGAAACGTCTTGTGACTGCAGGAGGCACCCCCCCCCCGTCCTTAGAGCCGTTGTGTCCATTGAAAACGGAGCCCCTTCACTTTTATCTTCTTTGCTTCGGAACCTCCCAATAAAGGACTTCAACGATGTTTCGGGGGGTTTCTTAAGCAACTTTTATTTTTGCTTAGGAACCTCCCAAAAAAGGAATTCAACGACAAGAATGCCCATATTGCCTCTTTTTTTTTTTCTCTCTCAGGGGGGGTTGCTTAAGCAGATTAACTTCAATGTGCCTTAGGAACCCCCCCCCCCCCCCCCCCCCCCCCCCCCCAAAAAAAAAAAAATTAAGAGGCACTTTTTGGGATATCCTGAGCAAGAGTAGTAGTTAAGGGAGTTCCAGGCATGGGCCGTCGGCTGCGCCGGCGCGGCAGTGGGGGCCCTCCTGCTGGGCGGACTGCCTGCCATATGAGTGGGAAAACCCTAAACCCTGAACCCTAAACCCTAAACCCTAAACCCTAAACCCTAAACCCTAAACCCTAAACCCTAAACCCTAAACCCCTGAGCCTTGGACTTCAGGAAATTGAGGACTTGCAGAATTTTCAAAACCCCCCAGCAATTTCCTTCCCCTCCAGTTCCCCTCCCCACAAACCTTTCAAGACCTCCTGAACCCCGAACCCTGAACCCTAAACCTTAAACCCTAAACCCTAAACCCTAAACCCTAAACCCTAAACCTTAAACCCACAACCGGCCCGGAAATCCTGGTACCTCCTGAGGGGCCGTGGCCTTCTTGTCTTCAGCTCTGGGACATGCGCCGACGAAGCTCGCCTGTTGAAGAGTGGGGTTTTAGGCACCAAACCCTAAACCCAAAACCCTGAACCCTAAACCCCAAACCCTAAACCCGAAACCCTAAACCCTAAACCCTGGTTCACAGTGCAGTCGCGCTCAGTTGCTCAGACTCAGAGACAGCGCGAGTAAACCAGAAAACCCTAGGGGGGGGTGCTTAGTTTGGCACAAGCAGCTGGGAGGGCACTCGCAAGAGGCTCTGGCAATCGGACGCTGGGCCGCCATTCAGACATCAGAGTCCTTTCCCCTGAACTCTTTCTCGCCTTGTTGTGCTGAATCCTGAGGCTACCCTGGCTACACCATGCATCGCTCCCTCGCCTGCATCCCCCACCATGGCGCCTCGGCACTGGGTTTCGAGGAGGAGCAGAAGCTCCACGTGAAGCTCTCGGTCTACTGCGCCCACAAGTGTGATGAACGCAAGGACTGTGCGGGTTTCCTCTTCCGTGACGACGACACGCCCTTTCGCCACGGCACGAACATGGCTGGCGGCACCTGCTGGCTCTATTCCTCTGTCACCGAAACGAAGTGCTGGGGCGTACCCGACTTGCGGCTGCACGCCGATAAATACACCACGTACGTGCGGGACAAGCAGTGAGAAGAGCCTCGATGGGAGCTCAAAGGGAGCTGTTGAAGGGTCACGTAGCAGAGAGCTTGCCGTCACCACGCGAAAACCGCTGGTGGTCCCTCAGAGACTCCGCGTCCATGGATATGGAATGAAACGGCGCTCGCACCGACACCTGATGAGGATTCAGGGTTGGGGCTTAGGTCATGATCATGAATTTCGGTGTGGTTTCTACAGCTCTAAGTGAGTACAGAGCGAGCTCCCGGCAGGTATGAGCCCGGATGCAAAACAATGGGTAATGACCGACCAGAAGCAACTCAATCTTACCCCATCTATGGTGAACCTTCAACCGCAGTGCCATCTCTCACAGTGATCCTCGATAACCAGATGACCAGAGAGTAGATACATTGGGATATTGCCCCTTATAAAACAGTCCTTAATGGGGATTATAGGGGGCGGGGGGGGGGGGTTACCATAATCCTCCTTAAGGACTGTCAGTCTAAGGGGGAGCATCCCAAAGTAGACACGTTATCCCAATACATCATCCGCCTGCTCCTTCAATTCAGCCTCCTTGTCCCATCCCAGATCCGAGGTCCTCATGTGGTCGCCGATCCGGGATGCCTCGGCAAAGACGCGCTTATCAAGATAATCTGGGTAGTGCCAGTGCTTCGGGATAGTTGTAAATTTCCCTTCTTTCCCTGTTAAGGGACCCTATTCATAAACAGTCTTCAAAGGGCCCTAAAACACCAGCCAGTACTTGTGCTCATGCCGAGCTTGTTGGGACCTTGGTTCTGTCCATCAGAGCAATGGTTCTTGTTGGCCCCCATGTCCGGGGTTTCGGGGCCTGTGCCTTGCGACTTTCGAGCAACGTGGGCCTCCAGGTGTCGGGCAGCGGCAAGAAATTTTCATGCCGACAGGGGTACCTTAGGTCCTTATTTGGGGTCCCAATTGTAAGGGGATCCTACTACTTGGGGTCTATATACAAACCGCCCTAACCCACAAACCCCACACGAGTTGGCGAGGCGGGCCCAGCAACCCATAAAACAAGCCCACGGAGCTGGATTAACAAGCTTTTTTGGCGGCATACTAATACTGTAGTCCTGAGGCCACAAGGGCACCTCAAACAACTGTTCTGTAAGGGTGTCTGAAAGCCACGCCAGCACCCTTTCGTTAATTACACCTTCTTAATCCACTGCCGCCGTCCGCCGATGGCCACCTCGAACGAGGGACTTCGCTGGAAGGCCGATAGTTTTCAGGGAGGCTCCCTTGAACCCTGACACCCCCGAAGGCCCTAGACCCTGAACTCTGCACCCTTGAACCCTTAAAACCCTCTCATTCCTCCCCCCGCCACCCGCTCCCCACCCAAACCCTAAACGTACCTGTGTGAAGATCCTCTCTAAAGTGACCTACGTCTGTTGGGGTTTGCGCTGGGTATTCAGGGGATCCTGGTCTGCTGCTGTGCGAGTCCTAAACTCCGAACCCCAACCCTGAACCCTAAAGCGGTTCCCGTCGAATTACCTTAGTACCCGGACAAGTCTCGTAGTCAACCCTGCGATGTGGACTCGCCCCAGCTGTGCGGGAGGAAAAACAACCCAAAACCCCAAACCCCAAACCCTAAACCCTGTGATGTGCGTGTGCCAAAGCCCTGTGATGTGCTCTAGGCGGGACACAAACCCTGAACCCTTGAACCCTGGACAGTCCTGACGAGGACATGAGAGATCAGAAAGTTTTCCTTGTACAGAGAGAGAGGATTCCTCCTTTCCGTCCCGCCTTTAACCCTCACCAAAGAGTAGTTTTGCTTGTGCTTCATCAGTAGTGGCCTTTTATTCCTGCCGTTCTTTAGAGAGGGGGAGCTGGAAACAAAGAAACCAGAAAAGGAAGTGGAGTTCTCTGCATTTGTCGTTGAAGCAGTGACGTGTGATTTGCTCTGCAGTGCGTCTCCCTGAGCCATTCGGCCAGCTATGCGGGAGCGAAAGAAAAACCCTCAATCTCCGAGAATGGAAACTCCAGAGCTGAAGCAAGAGACTTCCCTCGAAACTTTCCTCGAAGCTATCCTCGAAACTTCCCCGGATCTGAACCCCTAATCTCAATGGACCCAAACCCGGAATTTGCGTTTCGGCCAGTTATGCGGCGAAAAACCCTAAACCCTAAACCCTAAACCCTAAACCCTAAACCCTAAACCCTAAACCCTAAACCCTAAACCCTAAACCCTAAACCCTAAACCCTAAACCCTGAACCCTGAACCCTGAACCCTGAACCTTCTTCTTGCTGCTTTTTCCGAGACGCACTTAATAACCCCGCTGTGCTGTGGCTAGTCGGGTGCCAAAAAAAACCCTGAACCCTAAACCCTAAACCCTGAACCCTAAACCCTAAACCCTAAACCCTAAACCCTAAACCCTAAACCCTCAACACCCGGAAGCAAGGCCGGCCCATGGATTGTGGAGCCCAGCGGCTTGGAAGTCCTCGGCAACCCGAGGCCGCCTCGGAACCTTCGAGTTGAAGCTTTGGTTTAGGGTTTAGGGTTTAGGGTTTAGGGTTTAGGGTTTAGGGTTTAGGGTTTAGGGCTTAGGGCTTAGGGCTTAGGGTTTGGGGTTCAGGGGTTTAGGGCTTAGGGTTTTAGGGTTCAGGGGTTCAGGGCTTAGGGTTTAGGGTTCAGGGGTTTAGGGCTCAGGGTTTAGGGTTCAGGGGTTTAGGGTTTAGGGTTTGGGGTTGAGGGTTTAGGGTTTGGGGTTTGGGGTTTGGGGTTTGGGGTTTAGGGTTCAGGGGTTCAGGGTCTAGGGTTTGGAGTTGGGTGTTTGGGGTTAGCGTTTGGGGGTTTGGGGTTTAGGGTTTAGGATTTCCTCGCCGACTGCTGCACAAGGGTTTAGGGTTTGGGGTTAAGGGTTTGGGGTTTGGGGTTTAGGGTTTAGGGTTTAGAGTTTGGATGGGTTGAGCCTCGGGGCGGATAGACGGAAGCCTGTTGCAAACGGGCTTAGCCTTTGGCGATGAAGCCCAGATGCAAAGAACATGCTGAGGGCTCCGGGTTTAGGGATCGGCAAGTCCGGCTTCACGAAAAGGAGAGTTTCGAGACAAGGGGTTGGAGTTTCACACCCAGATGGTTTCATGCACCAGCGGTAGGGCTCCGTAATACAAAGGGGATCCTCACAAGAAATCGTGCTGTCGTAGTTTCAGACCCTCCCATAGTCCCAGCATTCCCAACAATACCATAACATATCCCCACCCCCAATGCAGTATTCATTGCCATGTGGCGAAAGATCAGCCAGAGACATTTTTGTGGGTAGGGGAGTGGTTGTTAGCTTAACCACATCCAGCAGCCTGCACCCCTCAGACCCTTCGACCCTTGATCGCGCCCCCGAAGGTTTTAGGGAGTAGGGCCCGCAGGACCCAAAGCTTGGAAGCTGAAACTGTACAGCGGCACCTGGCTCAGCGGCCTCTGAAGGAGGACCTGTTGTTTAGGGTTTAGGGTTTAGGGTTTAGGGTTTAGGGTCCGAGTATATACTTTCTAAGGGTTCTGTGGGGCTCAGACTTTAGGACCTTTAGGCTGCAGTGTCCCGGATTTGAGACGCAGGTGAAACGTTCTAAGGGCGCTGAGTGTGTCTTCACGCACACTGGGCCGCCGAGCTGTAGGTGAGTTCCCTTGCCGGCTGAGCTCGATCATCCTTCAGCAACACTTGCCTTTTGATAGAAACCGCAAGATTGCTATTGGTTGGTTTTGGTTGCGATGTCTGCTGGAACATAGTGGCAGTTTGTATTAAGGCCCTTTGTCCGTCGGATGTGCCTCGGTGACTCACACATCTTCGCGGAAGAAGCGCCCCAGAAAACCCTAAATCTTCAACCCTAAACTCTCAGGCGAGATCGACCTGGTCTTGGGGTTTTAAGTTATCCTACTTTCTCCAAGCCGACCTTCAAACCCCTCCGTGCTGTGGCTAGTCGGGTGCCAAAAAAACACCCTCAACCCTCAACCCTCAACCATTAACCCTAAATCCTAAACCCTAAGCCCTAGACTAAACCCAAACCCTAACTCCCCCAAAGCAAAAAGCTGAGACAGGACAGTGAGACTTTGACCGACCGGCTCGGCGCAGAGGCGGACGAGCCTCGGCGCAGAATCAGCGGCTTTGGTGGCGGGGGGGGGCAGGAGGGGGGGGGCTGACAGGTTTAGGGAAACGAGTTTAGGGGTGGAGGGTTTAAGCTCTACAGGGGTTTGGGGCTGAGGGTTGAGTGGACTGGTACCAGCAACTGCTCTTCTGAGTTCAGGAACATGGTGTTCTTTTAGCTGCTCCCCTTGGCAGGTGGGTGTCATTACGCAGCGTGAAGTGGAACAGCCACTCCGGCTTATTCGGATGAGGGGTGCAGTCTTTACAAGGTTGACAGGGCTAAATTGCGGCTTGTAAGCCCGGAACCGATTGGCAAAACCCTATGTGTGTGGCTTGCATGAAAATCTGCGAGCACAGTCTGGGCTTGCAGTGCACAGGGCGCGACAAGCTGTGACATTGACCTGCGTGGTTTCACAGGGTCGGCAGCAACTTTAGGCACATAGGTTCTGCAAGCTTTGTGTGGCATTGGCGGCTGTCGCATTTCAGAAACTTCAAATCTTGATATGCTTCGGAAAGGATCTTTACACGGCACCTGAGCTTCATGGCCGATAGCCCCCCATAGGCCATGGGCCGCGGGCCATAGGCCTACAAGCCTTCACGCGCTTTAGGGTTCAGACGTCAGAGTTTCCGGCAAAATAGGGGCTGCTGGGCGCTGGGATAGGGCCTCGGGTAGGCGCGCATCACACCTTGTTACCAGCGGGCTCAAGGTGTTTTCAGGCGCCGAATTGTTGCGGCAACCGAGGCTGCTCGAGCTCACGGGTGCTGGCGAGGAGGACCTGACCCAACTTGTGCCCGGGTTTGTCGGTCTGATTTCCAGCTCGAGCGCCGGCCACGGCGGCGCCAACTCCAAGCCATTTTTTCGAAACCGAGGACGTTTGCATCGAAGGGCTCAAACATGTTTATAAATTTGCAGTATTCAACCAGGACATGCCATTACTTCACAGTGTCTGCAACCTTCGTCAACATTGACCTGTGGAACACCTCTCGAAGTATTGTAGCACCCCTTGATGCCTCGAAATGCTGCAAGCAGTCTTTGCACGTCGTGAGATGCTGAGCAGATGTTTTTTCTGTCGATGGCAAGGCGTGGGAAACCTTGCAGAAGGACGAGCAGGTCCATGCACATTGGCGTAAGTTGAGTTTGACCTCCCGTGCGCCCGTTGTGTTCCAGCAAAGATGCCTTAGCGAGACCCCAGCGCCCTCGGCGGTTCGTTCCGGAGTAGGGAACTGCCCGCCAAGATACAGCGGCACCGAGATCGCAGCCTCTTCTGCGGCAGTGTCTTTGTGCCTCGGCCGCCTTGGCCTGACTTTGGGCGAACAAGTGTTCTGCGCGAAGGAAGGCCCCCCAGTTCAAGCCGTCCAGGTAAAGCTCACTGGCCACGTTCCCAACACCACCGTCGCCCATGACAGCTGGCTGGCAATGGTTCGGGGAACTGCTCCCTTTCACCTTAAGCCCTACACCCTGCATGAAGTGGCAAAAACCCTGAAACCCTAAACCCGAAGCCCTAAACCCGAAACCCGAAACCCGAAGCCAGAAACCCTGAAGCCCAAGCTTCCGGAGCCCAGGTGGCCCACTGCTTCTCAAACTTTGCCGACCGCGGGCTCTGGGACAAGCAGATGGACAGCTTCCGGGTGATGCGCCGTGGTGGCGGGGTTTAGGCTTTAGGGTTCGCGGTTCAGGGCAAAGAAGGGCTTGAGGGTTGGGGGCTCAGGCTGTAGGGCGCTTCGGGTTTCGAATTGAGCATGAGGCTTTCCGATCTCGGAGGGCTGGTTATGTACAGTCAAGGGGTTTCGGGTGTCCACGTTCCAAGACCTAAGAAGGACCGTGGCTTGTGCTCACCTCGCTTGGGCTTTTCTGAGCTGTGAGTCGAAGTCCCACGAAAGCTCAGGTACAACGTGCAGTCCAATGATATCGTCTACGGCCTCCTCCATGCCACCCGGACCCAGCTCAGTTGTGCAAGCTGTAGATGATATCACCCCCCCCCCCCCCCCCCCCCCCCCTCCTCCCCAGTTTGTGCAGCTTTTGCATCCACACTTCACTTTCACTTTCTGGGGGCCTCAAGCTTGCAAGGTGCCACCGCTGACGGATCGGGAGCCAAGGATCAACTTAGATGTCTCGTCGGATTCGGGCTTCACAGTCTGGAGTCTTGAGGGCTTCCTTGAAGGCTGCAGAGAAAGCAGGGCTCGGAGAGGGAGAGGGAGAGACACAGAGAGCGAGCGCGAGAGAGAGGGAGCGAGAGAGAGAGAGAGAGAGAGGGGTGCGCTGAGTGCGCAGGGGGTCACCCAAGAAAGAAAGAAAAAAAGAGTGAGAGGGGGAGGGAGAGAGAGCGAGAGAGAGAGAGCCATGTACCATGCACGTTTTTGCCCTACTCCCCGCACAAAGCAGACAGTGTATGCACGTTCCGTACGGTGTTCTGCTGTTTTTAGTATTGCTGTTACTTCCGCCTAAAACGTGCACACACTTTTTCACCCTGGGCTCCCCTCCATGCCCCAAAGAAAGAAAGACCTTGGACACTTCGGGCGCCCCCAGTGCGCGTTGATCAGGAACTCCCTCCCCTTCCCTGGCCTTCACGCTCTGCAGCAGAAGAAGAGAGAGGGGAGAGAGCCGAGGATTTCTTCTTGTACCACGCCACTTTGTGCCACGCGCCCTGGCCAAGGGCTTAATGGTTTAAGTTTGGGTGCCTGCAGCAGGTAAAGGCGATTTGGGTGCCTCCTGTTGTTTCGGTGCCTCAGTCTTAAGAGGGTTAAGGGTTTACAGCTATGGGGAGCCTACGCCTTGATCAGGTCTTGTGTGTTTTTGGTGAGATTGGCTCTACGTAGTGGGTTCATCGAGCTGCGTCATAAACCTGAGTGGCTGGAGAGACTCCCTTTTCGATGCTTGCGCCCCTTGTGAACCACAAAAGGCCACAGTGATGGCAATGGGAACGCCAGGAAGTGTACGGTTCAGGGTTAAGGTGGCTCCCCGTACGGAAGTTGGAATGTAGCTTTGGACAAGTGTTTGTGCCCAGGAAAGTGGTCGAGGCATAATGCCGCCCGGCAGACTTTTGGGAAGAAGCTGGGAGTTCCGTCTAGCCCAAGCTTGGGCTACATCTGGCATGTCTGTTTGGGGGGGCAGTCTTGCCTCAAGATACGAAGCCTCTTGAAGTGCATGAAGGCTGAAAAGGGCCGAAAAGGGCTGACAAGGAGCCCACCCACCGCGAGGTTCTACACCCGCTCTGCCAGCAACAGCCTGTGTCCACCCACACGGGCAGTCCGAGCAACACAGCGACGTGGCAGCCAAGCGCGTGCCGTTTGTAGCTCTAAGGGGGGGGGGGGGGTATGCTGCCCAAGAGGCACTGCCCAAGGTGTCATGTGAGATGCTTGTGTTTCTCCGTGTAGGTGCCGGGTCGTGGGTGTCTCAAAGCAGTCGTATATGTTGAGAGTTTTTTCGCCGCATCACTTGGGGTTTTAGGGTTGAGCGCTCAGGGTTTGTAGGGCTTAGGCACTGGGAGACGCCAAGGTACATGGCTTCCCATTGTCTCATGCAGGATGCGCCGTTGGGTTCTCATTGCAGGTCGATTCTGCATTGGGGTTTAGGGTTAGGGTTTAGGCAAAAGGGGTCGATTAGAACAATAAGATTCCTCAAGCAAAGGCCCCACAAGAACATCTGCCAACGATGCTCTGCACCGCTCGTAGCGTTCTTGATCTGGGCCGGACCAGCCTTGACCCGACAAGTCTTGCCCCAAGCTGTTGGGTTCCTGCTGTTCTCTAAGCTGCGCTGGGCTTGGTTTTTTTTTTGTCTCCCCTGAGATTCTGTTTGATGACTCGCTTTCCCTCTCTCTCCCTCTGGAGGACCCCGACGGAAAGGGAGTGACCTTCACCTCCACGCAGGCGGTGGAACCGCACATCCCCTTCCTCCCCAGGTGGGTCATGCGGCTCTGATGCAGGAAGCCTTGGGGTCCCCGCCCGCCCGCTCTCATCTCAAGTCGCTGTGCTCTTGGGAGCCTTTCTTGTGCAAGACACCCTAACTAAACCCTAAACCCTAAACCCAAACCCTAAACCCTAAACCTTAAACCCTGCACCTTAAACCCCATAAGCCCTAAACCCTAAATCCGCTGAAGACTCCCAGGACGCTGCTGCTGCCCGCCGAGTTCCGGCGCTGGCGAAGCGCTGTCGACCAGCGCAGCCATGAGCTCCACCGGGAGCTCCCCCCCTCTGCTTCAGCCAGCCTCACCCGAAGCGCTCACCCCCAAAGGGCTAAAGCAAAGGCAGCTGGATCCGCTTAAGGGCAATGAACCAAGCCCAGGGCCCCTAAATTTGCAGTTGTGCCTGGTTGTGGTTAGCCTATGGTTTTGGGCGTGGGCTGGTGGGCTGCTAGGGTAGTAGCCACCTTTTTTGCAAGTAAATTGTACCACATTCTCTGCAAAGTGGACTTCGTTCAGCTAGGCAGGAGGCAAACCAAAAAAACCGAAGCCCCATGAACCCCACAAACCCTCAAACCTCCCCAAGCCCCCCCTCCCCCCAAAAAAATGGCCCTAAATCCTAAACTTAAACAAATCGAGAAGTGCACCAAGGGAAAGAAGACCTTAAACCCTAAACCCGAAGCACTAAACCCTGACACCCGCAGTGTCCGAGAGGTCAGCGAGGCAGGTGGCAAAACAAAACCCTGGCACCTACAAAGCCTCCAGAAACCCACAGGACGGCGTGCCCATCCCCGTCGCCAGCGTGCTGCAGACAGAAGCCCAGCTCCGGGCCCCGGCCAAGGCTGGTTTAGGGGGGCTGGGTGTGGGGGGTTTGGAGGGTTTGGGGGGGGGGGGGGGTTTAGGGGGCTTCAAGGGTTGAGGGTTTCGGGTCTAGAGAGAGAGAGAGAGAGAGACGTTGCGTTCTTGTGGTATGGGCCTTGGGCTAAAGAGCCCAAGATTCGACACATCCAAAACCCTAACCCCTAAACCCTGAGGTGGAGGAAGCTTCGCCCTCGGGCTACACCACCGAGGTGGGAAGAATGGGGCCAGCTGGGGCGATTTGGGCCCACACAATCGCTTTGGGTAGGGCTGAGCGATGGGCGTGGGTTGGGTTTGGGTCTTGAGCTTTAGGGCTTGGTCGGCGTGAGGCCAGCCTGCTTTAAGGGCTTTAGGGTTTGGGGTTTGGGGTTTACAAGGGTTCAAGCTGTTTTGACCGATTGCAAGCCAGGACGGCTACCCCAGTGACGCCAGCGACGCCAAGGCAAAAGACTGGCTCGGTCGAGCTTGTATAGTGATCCTAGGAGCGCTTGTCAGGGCCACTCTTGTGCGAAAGCCCGAAAGGCTGCAAAGATTCTTGTAGGGTGCTGCGTATCAGGGCTGCTGGCTAAGGATTGTAGTTGCTGTTACTTCAGATGCCAAAATATGAATATTCAAGAGATGGTACATAAGATGGATTATGGCAACTCGCTTAAGGTTCTTTAGACCAGCACCTCACTGCTTCTTCGCTGCTTCAGACCAGAGGATCCCTGGCCTTCGGGAGCCGGAGCTCCCCCAAGAGAAGCCCTCAACCCCAACCCCAACCCCCCCCCCCCCCCTAAGGTTTAGGGTTTAGGGTTTAGGGTTTAGGAAAAAAGTCTGCAAGCTGTGGTCCGTGCCAGACTGGCATCGATGGTGCCGACAGCCCTCCAGGTGCGCTTTTTCGATGTTTCGGTCCGGCCCACGCTGAGCTTGGGGGTTTTCGGGTTAGATTTGGTGGGGGGTGAGGTTCAGGGTTCAAGGGAAAGACTACATTGAAAGTTACGAGATAGCGCAACCAGCTGTCTGTATCGGCGGTAATCTGCATGAAGATCCCTGGGAGAACTAGGGGACGGAGGTGTATCAGAATCGAAAGGCTCCCTCTTTAACACTCCCAGAGATGAGAGAAAGAAAGTGCTCAACGCATAGGGCCTTCACTTCAGGGAACCTGCGCTGGGAAATGACATGAAATCACAGAACTTGAAGGTAACTGGTGACCAATTCGAAGCTGGCGTGCTGCCCGACTTTTTGTCGCTGGCAGGTACCCACCCCGATGCATCGCCGTGCATCGAGGCCAGTCGGGTTCTGTAGGAGGTTTAGAAGTTTAGCAAATTGGGTTTAGAGTTTAGGGTCCGGGTGCAGAAATTCATGGCAGTGGCAGAAATTGGACCCCTATGGACCACAAGACCGTTGGCCGTTGGAGGGTCTCCCAGGTAAGGATTCGGAATTAAGTGGGCTTAGGGCTGTTTAGGCTTCAGGGCTGCGGGCAGGTGTAGGGATGTTGACCAAGACAACCTCGGGCGCCCCCGGGCCGGGGTGGAGACGAACCAGACGCTTAGGGGTTAGGGTTTAGGGTTTAGGTGCCTGTGCATCCCGACCAGGATGCTGTGGCCACTGTGCCCGTGACTTCGCCAGGCCGTTGAGGGCTTGTAGGCTTCCACCGTTTCGCGGGCTGGAACCATCATGCAGTGGCATTTGGCGTCTCAGCTGCTGCAGCTGTGCATCTCTCTTGCTGGTGTGCTGGTGTGCTGGTGTGCTGGTGTGCTGGTGTGCTGGTGTGCTGGTGTGCTGGTGTGCTGGTGTGCTGGTGTGCTGGTGTGCTGGTGTGCTGGTGTGCTGGTGTGCTGGTGTGCTGGTGTGCTGGTGTGCTGGTGTGCTGGTGTGCGTGTTCGTGTGCGTTTGGGTGGGTGTGGGTGTGGCTCTGTGTGTGTGTGTGTGTGTGCAGGTTTCGGCACACCTACAAGAACAGCAGTCCAGTAGGTTCCCAATCCACTAGTTTCTGCGAGCTCGAGCACAGGCCTGTGCTGGTGCTGCTGAGGACCCACGTAGGCCTGTGCGCTTGAATGGGGTTTGAAGTTTGAAGGGTGGAGCCTGGCAGTTATGCAGCCCCTCTGTCCGAATCGATGGTGTCTTATGGTTCAGCGAGGCCCAACATGTGTACTTTTCAGATGTTGTTTTTGTTTGTTGGTCGCCACCGTTTTGCTTGAAAGGCAGAGTTCTTAACTCTGACTGAGGCATAGGCATGGACGCCTTTGCTGGGGAGTGTGTTGCGCTGCTTGGGATGATGCGTGAAAACGCGAGCCCCACGGCGTTGCCTTCTCATGCAGATCATCGTTTCTTTGGGGGCCGAATGATCAACACCGCATGAAGCTTATGATTGGGATCATGTACCTTACATTTCGCCCCCGTTTTCGTCTCCTAGGACGAAAGACCGGGGGGGCCGCAGGAGTTTTCCGGGGTCCATGGCCCCAAACCCTACATGTTCCTGCGGTATTCCCGGCGTGTTGGGCTCGGATGCGGTTTGCAGAAGGCCTTCTGTTCTGCTAAATCTGTGCTAAACACATGTACAAGCGCTTCCAATCTGCCGGGCTGTTCTACGCTCAGTCGTCTTTGTTCTGGTTCTTGGGGCTTGGCAGTTGATCTGGACTTGCGCCACCCGAGCTCCAAACATCAGTTCTGAAGCAGGATGGACTTTGCAGCACGTAAGCCCAACGAAAAAGCCACCGCCACAAAACGAGCGGCTGGCACGGATTCTGGGACTTCGTCGCGAGAGCTGCACTGTGTGCGGCCTTGACGGTGTCCAGCTGGAAAATGGGTTACCGCATGTTCCCACGACTCGCAGTTCCAGGGTCCTTGGCCCGTGCTCCAGCTTAGGCTTGTTCGTGCAACTCACCTTTCAATGGTGCAAATAAATGTTTAGATATATGTGCATATGTAGCTACAGAGATGTATGAATGTATATGTATGTATATATATACACACACATATATATATATTTATAGAAAACACGACATATTCGTATATGTCTATGCGTACATATATACAGGCATATCTGCACATCTTCCAGTATATACTTTGGCATGCATTGCCAAAGCTTTCGCAGCGTTTCCGGCGTGGACTGCCCTGGAGCAGGAGTCTCCCAGAGGGACCCCGAATATAGAGCCCCATAATGATTAGTAGGCTCAACGCGGCAGGGGGAGAGTAAGCTTGTGGTTGCTCATGGCTCTTGACAGCATTGGCTTACCATAAATGTGTAGTGGCATGGCGACAAGGACTGACTAAGCTCGACTGTCCCTAGCAAGACGAAAAGGAAGATGCCCTTAAACATGATGAAGATCCAGCCAGATACTGCCCGAATACATCCATGGCGTGAGCTTCTTACCTCGGTCATTAGCTGTGAGTAGTATTCCCGACACCAACCCCCCAAAAAGCCCTATACTAATTGTTAGGAATAGAATTCCCTTATGAGCCCTTTAGAATTCTACACAAAAAGACCCCCCAAAAAGCCCTGTACCAATGATTAAGATGCTTCGCCTTTTGGCGGCGCTGTTCCCCCTCGCCGCCGGCTTCAAGGCTCTGGCCCTGCAGGCAAGAGAGATCTCTGCATACGTCTGTTGCGGGAAATGCCAGCAGGGTTTAGAAGTTATGTGCTCTTTAAATGGAAAAAAAGGATGCCTTAGTGGCGCAGGTTCTGAAGTGAGCCCGCGTATATGATTGCTAGTTATTAATTGACCGGCCGAAAAGTATAGCATAAATTATGGCCCATCTAAATATTATTAGTAAGAGAACATAGTAAGTGAAACGAATGGTGAAAAAGACTCCTATTAACGCGCCCCAACAAAGTATTTTTAGGGACGCTCCTTGCGTCCCTTTGGCGCTTTCAATTCGCGTCTTTATGAACAGTATGTTGGCGTGTCTAGGGTCTAGGGTTTAGGGTCTAGGCCTGTTGCAAAAGGGTTTAGGGTTCAGGGTTTAGGGGGGTAGCCATGTGGGGTGCGAACTTGCGCTTTGCGGGCGAACGCCCCGTCGGCAGGGGGGCGGCGTCCGTGCTGTGGCCGTGGATGCGGGGCTGTTCGCCGGGCTGGCGGAGGCAGCGGAAGCCCTAAGCCCTAAACCCTCAACCCTCAACCCTCAACCCTGAACCCCTAAACCCTAAACGCTAAAGCCGAAACTCTATAAACCCCCCCCCCCCCAAAAAAAAAGAAGGAAAAAACAAAAAGAAAAAAACGGGGAAGAGGCGCCGACGCAGTGCTTGGAGCCTTTTCACCTGGTCTCGAGCGTGAGCGGCTCATCCTGGCGGCTCGGCCTGAAGCTAGGCTCCGAGGGTTTAGGGTTTTAGGGTTTAGGGTTTGGGGTTTAGGGTTTGGGGTTTAGGGTTTAGGGTTTAGGGTTACTAGGATCCAGAGCAGGCCCTTATTCCCCCCCCCCCCCCCGGCGCCTTCTTTGGGGCCCTAGGTTCCCTGATAAGCTTAAACCAAAAAGGTTTTTTTTTGTTACTCCCGAGGTTACTCTTGGGTCGAGTTCTGGAGGGCTTCCCAGGGTGGTTTAGAGGGGTTCATATGGGGTTTCGCTTTTGGGTGCCTGGGGCCCACGTAGGGGCAACCTGCATGGCGCTCATCGCGGCCTCACAAAAGTTTGAACAACAGACGACCCAAAGTACCGAACTCGGCCACAAATGGGAAGAATGAGGCACGGCCTAAACCTACTTTGTTGTGGCGTACCCAGGAAGCCCATTGTGAGATTTGTCACCTAAGCCGTGAACCAAACCCTAAGCCCCGACCAACCCAAGAGAAGCTGTCCTTTTCAAGGCTTGTCTTGATCGGCATCTTCAGCAGATCAAAACTGCTTGTAGCCTTGCCGCTCCTTGAATGCGACCCAGTTGTACACTTTAGTCTACACACCTCAAGACTTGCACCACGTTGAGCCTGGCATGATAGCAAGAACGTGCACACTGAAAGAGCCATAATTGCTTGTGGTCTTGCAGAAGGCGGCCTGTCGCCCCGATGGCCGCCACAAAGCGACACAAGCCGCTGATTGACCCGACCCTGCCCTCAGAGCGCGTCTTCAATGCCTTGTTCCGTGGCGACTTGCAGTTCGTACAAAGTGCCACGTCTTGTTTCGACTGGGAGCAGGTGAGCCTGAAGTATGGTACTCCTCTCCAGGCGATCGTAGCTGGTGCAATCTGGGACTTCGATGAACCTGAGCGGAAGTTTTCAGAGCGGCTGGAGCTGCTGTCCTGGTGCATCTCGCAAGGCGCTGATCCCGAGCAGCATGCCCACGGCAAGGTCTTCGGAAGGGTGCAGATCGAGAGGGATGACCTGATCCTTGCCGGGACCTCCGCCCAGTCCCTCATACGCACAGTCCACACCTTCTGTCGCCAAGAGTTCCTGACTGACTTGGATCCGCAATCCTTGCTTTTGCCACGGCTGAAAGCCATGCAGAAGTTGCTGACAGCCTTGGCACGGCCAAAGTGCTTTTCCGTGGTCCAGTCAGTTGCGGGCCACATGTGGGCGGAGATCTGCCACGAGCCGGAGTACGCAGACGTCACAGTCCTCAGCCGGCCCATGACGGACAAAGGTCTCCGCTGCGTGTTCCTAGCCCATTCTGTGCTGCTTTGCCACGCCTCGCCGGTTTTCAAGGCGATGTTGAAAGAAAGGGCGTGGCGAGAAGGTGACAACCATCGGATCATTTTGGACGAGCCGCCAGGCGCAGTCGACATCTTCTTGTCCATGCTTTGCAGCGGCGTCTTGCCAGACGAGTACACTTGCCAGGAGATCGCGACGGCGGCTGAGATGGCCGACAAGTACCAGGTGGACACTATGATCCCCGGACTCGTTGCCCAGATGAGGCGGAGGATGTCGGTCGACAACTTTGCGACCCTGTGTGCGTACGCCCTGAAATACAGCAACCTGGCCATGATCGGGGATTGCGAGGCCTTTGTGCGAAAGAAGGCCCAGCAGGGCGAGATTCGACCCGAGAGCCGATGGAGCAACGCCACGCACGAGACCATGAACTTCATCACCGAGACGCTGAACCTCTACACCTTCACGGTCGAGAGCCGGACCTTGTGACAGTTTCGCTGCGGGCCTGCGAGTGAGGCTGGCTCTGAAAAGCTGGCAGTGTGGTGAGACGAGGGCTTTGCTTTGTTTTACCAACCCGCTATATAAACCGACCAGCCGCACTGCAGGGTAACAATTCGAGACGACTGACATAGTTTGGCGACTTTCTTTTTGTTTGCTTTTGTTTGCTTTTGTTTGTTTCTGTTTTGTTTCTGTGGGCCAGGGTTTGTATTTTGAAAAGGTGGGGCGTGGGCTTGTTTCGTTTGAAGGTGTGGCTCGGCTCCCCTAGTCCCTTGGTCGGTGCTTTGGGGTTTGGGGTTTAGGGTTTAGAGTTTAGGGTTTAGGGTTTAGGGTGTCCCGTGGTCTCGCGGACAAGTGTGTTGAAGCCCTGCCTCGAAACCCTAAGCCCTACACCCCATCTTTTGCAGTACGCAGACTTTGCGCGAAGGTTCGCCTCCGAGCTGCTCTTCTCTCCATCCTTCCTGCACCTACTGCAGGGTGCGGCCATCAAGGTAAACCTAAACCCTAACACCCTAGCCCTAAACCCTAAACCCTTCTATTCCTTAATTGAGTAATTGAGGGTCTGAGGATGCAAAATAAGAGTTTAGAGGCGTGGGGGGGGGGGGGGGTGTTTCCTAACACCCTTTTTCCTTAGCCCTCAACCCTAAGCCCTTAAATTCCTTAATTGAGGGTTTGAGTCCAGGTTGTCAGAGGGCTCCTGGTCGAAGAAGGACATGCGAGTGCCTGGGGGCGACTCAGGGAGGTGCAACAGGTTTAGGGTTTAGGGTTTAGGGTTTAGAGGATCTCCAGTGTGCTGCATGAAGCCCCCGGCACACGAAACGCCGCCCCGCAAGACCCTCCCTGCCCTGGCCGCAGGCATGGCAGCCGACCCTTCCTCGGCCGCTGTGCAGTTCCAGGAGCAGGGAGCAACTTCGCAAACACCTGCCAAGACTACAAAGCCACTTCTAACTAAAGAAGGGCCCCTTATCCTAAGCTGCGCGAAGCCTTACATAAGTTGGGGCACGAGTGAGAGACCATGCTTCACCTTCGGTCGAGGAGCTCTGGATTCAACCCTGGCTGATGGCCACGGCCGTGGATGAAAAGAGGCCCAACCCTCAAGCCCCAAACCATAAACACATACAGCCCCTGAGCAGAATAACCCTAAACCCTAACCCTTAACCCTTAACCCTTAACCCTAAACCCTAAACAACCCTAAACCCTAAACCCTAAGCCCTAAACCCTACACAAGCGGCCTCGCCTCCCTCACCTCAATCGGCTTCCAGGATCTGTTTCCCCCCCTGAGGTTCGATGGCTTTCAGACGCTGGTAAGGCTCTTGGTTCGACTGCTGCTGGGCACTGGTGACGAAGACACGAAGCTTGACGTACCTACGGGGGTTTACGAAAACAGGGGACCCCTAAAAGAAGACCCCAAATGTCAAAAGGAGCCCGATACGGTACCCCTAGTATCGTAAACCGCTCCTCAGTTTCTTCGAGAAGGGCTTCCTTAGTTGCAAAAAGCGCCCCAGGGCGCGAGACACGTGACTTGCGTTTGCCACAGCTCTTGTGCAAGTCATGTTGGGCTTAGGATGAGCCCACGAACTGTTCAACAAGTTGGCTGCCTTGTTCTTTTGCGGCGCGATTGTCTCAGGATTTTCCTCGCTCAGTTCTTCTTAGCTACTGGCTTGACCTGGAGCCATTTCGTGGATGTGCTGCTGACGCGCGGCTTGACAATTCCCCGAGCTTGGGCAATCTTGGACATTTCCATTGCCGTGCTGAATGTTTTGAGTGTCTCCCGCATTGTTAGGCGTTCCATGCATACGGATGAACGGTGCCTGCAAAGCCTGCTGCTTAAGGGACATCGGGAGCCCCGTCCATGTTTCTGAGTATGTTCCCTCAGGAACTCCACGGCAGGGATCTCAGAGGAACTCCCGCGCCTGAGCGGCATTCTTGGCTTAAGCAGCCTCAGCCCTAAACCCTCGAAGGGTCCTGCAAAGGTCGGGTCCAGGACGCGAGCTACCAAAGCAATCTGAAACCTGAACCCGAAACCCGAAATTCAAACCCCGAACCCTATGAGCCCCAGGCCCTAAACCCTAAACCCTGAACCCTGAACCCTGAACCCAACCCTAAACCCGAAACCCTAAACCCTAAACTGGAGGCTGGGCGGACCCCTGGCCTCCCAGGAATCGGCTGGGAAGGCAGAGACGGCGGGGCTGCAGGATTCGGATGCTAAGCCCCCAAAGCCGAAGCTCTAAGCCCTAAAACCCCTTTGGGGTTTAGGGGGTTTAGGGTTTAGGGTTTAGGGCTTCCGCAGCAGTCCTGGGTTAAAAAAGGTTTAGGGTTTAGGGTTAACCCCTGCACCCTAAACCCATAGTCTCCCTAGGTTCGATTTGCTTAGTCTTCTTCATATAAAGCCCCAAGAGGAATATTAAGCATGCTATGTTTATTATGGTTATAAGGAGGGTATTCATGGGTTCCAGGTTCGACAATCAGGGGCTAGACTGTAAGGCATATGATATCTAAGGGCGTAAGGTTTATAGGGTGTCCAGGCTACTCCAGCATATTCAGGAATTTGAGGAGTTCAAAGTTCGAGGTTTCGGTTTCCGAGTTCGTCAAGTTGGTTGGCGTTCCGCAGGTGGATGGGGGTTGAGAGATGAAGGGCTTTACGAAAATATAGGGGACCCCCCAAATCGTAGGATTCCCTCATATTGAGGACTTCAACAAGGTACCCCCCCAATTTTGGAAACCCCCTGATGTTGAGCTCGCTCAATAGTGTTGCTTGGCAGTGAAACGTCGAAAAGCGTGCGCGTTCAAAAATGGCAGGAATCAGGTTGTTGCCAGAATAGTCGTGAACCCATAAAATGGCGTATGAACCCCACGCTAAGATGCAGAATTAGGTTATGGCGTCACGTCCCTGGACAGTTTCCCATGCGGCCCCTGACAGATCTGGCTGGTGGATCACTCGCTGCTGCTGCTGGGCCGATCATAGGACGGGCGCCCAATACTTGCAAGAACACTACATATGCAACCTTTCCATTCCCCGGCTGTTTTGGGGAAAACTAACCGGGAATGGAAGCCGGCCCTGTTTCTACCTCATAAGATCCCCCCCGAAAAAGGAACAAGGCCTATGCTGCTGTCTTGGAGACCCAGGCTACCGAAGACTGGGCAGCACGGCAACGTGGCTCAAGGCCCGGCCGCGGGGGCGGTGTCGCAAGGTGTTGCATTTTTTTTAGCTGGGGTGTGGATTGTCAGTTTTCTTTCTGGTAAGTGTTGCACAGTGTGGGCTTCGAGTGAGGGCAGTGGGGACCTGAGGGTTGTGGTGACTCAGTAGGCTTCGGCCTCGTAGTCCTGCAACATGTGTCAGCTTTGTCAGCATCCTCTCAGGAAAGCTTCTCCTGTCGCGCGTGAGCTACGATGCCGCCTGCATATGGAGATTCCAGTCTCTTCCAAGATTTGCCATTGGAGTTTCGCAGGGCTCCCACCTTGAGGCCCCTGTAGGTTTCGGGTACCAAGCCCTAGAAGAAGCGAATGAAGGGGGCTTCTTGTAAAGGAGGGGCCCCAGAACCTTGTCTCTATGCCCTGTAGTGCGACTCAGTCCTATCGCCAAGGTCCAAGCTCCAATTTCCATGCTGCCCGCCTCCTTCTCAGTGACCCTGGGGGCAGGCCCCACTAGCAGCCCCAAACCGTCCCACCGCCTAAGACTTTGAGGGTGTTCAGGGTTTGGGGCTCATCCAGGCCTCAAGAGGCTTGGAGTTCGGACTGATTGTGCTGCCGAAGCCCTACACCCTAAACCCGAAACATTTGAATTTTTCCAGTGAGCTTTTCCATAGCTTGGTATCGGTGTATCACCAGTGCCCAGATGGGCTCCAACATGCAAAACGGGCTTTACAGCAACATGGGACAGAGTGCGCCTCGCCTGGCCTAAACCCTAAATCCTAAATCCTAAAACCTGTGATGTTCTGGTTCATAACCCTGTGTCCACGACATGGAGCCGGGAAGGCGTGGCGAGCAGCGCCCCGCTGCCGTACATGGCACTCTCGGAGGCATCTTCGGCGTCTTCTTTGGTTTTGCTCCCGGGGGTGTTGGGGGTGGGGGAGCGTGAGGGGTGGGGGTTTAGGGTTTAGGGGTTTTGGGATTTTGTGAACCCCCCTCCCCAAATAAAACCCGCCCTAGGGTAGGCTCCATCTCTTGCGACCTGCACCTTTCTATTATTTTTTATTCTCCATAGGAAATCCTACGAGATACGATAATTTCCCAAATTGATATTATTTTCGGGAATTCATATGCCCATCGTCGCTGGTAATTTTGTCGATAGGTAGAGCAGGTAGCAGGGGATCTCATCTGCAGAATATCATGATTTTTCCCGATCGTGATTTCAGGTGTCGCTCCAGCTCCTCAGGCTGCACCTGGGGAAGAGGTTTCGATGTTGCTGCCAGCCGAACTACTCAACCCTGAGGCTTATGAGTACACATCAATATATTATGAAATTGTTATATCAATCAGTATATGGTTATATTCGTATATGTATAAGCTATTTATATGATCATTGCATTACATTATTATGCTACTAAATTGTTGTATTGTTTGTTATATGATGATAAAATTGTGTCAGTATAAATGAGTATATGGTTATATGATTGCCATGATCATATGCTGCCTAAATGATTACAATCCATCGAAATGGCAAGTAGGAATCGCCACAAACACTTTCATGCGCAGCCCGAAAGGGGTTTTTTGGAGTTTGCCCCTCTTGTTTGGAGCCTCTCCAAGATTCCAGTACCAGCTCTCCGCGCTCCTTGATCACGTGGCCATTGCAGCTCCCCCCGTCCGGCTGGACCTTTCCTGCTGCGATGTTTTGGGGGGTTTAGGGTTTAGGGTTTAGGGTTTAGGGTTTAGGGTTTAGGGGGGCTTCCGAAAATGAGCTTTGCTGCTGCTGTGCCCTGCTTTTTGTGGAACATGCTTCGTCGCACTTTTGGGGTATGTGAGGGAGTAGCCTTTTTTTTTTTTGGGGGGGGGGGGGGGGGGAATGCCCAGCCATCCAAGGATGTTTATTCAAAAAGCCCATTCATCTTGGGTCATGTCACATGAATGTTACAACGGGGTGCTGATCATGATTCATCTGGGTTGATGTGTTAACGATGAGGTAAGAGGGCCCCGGGTGAAGCTCCGAAGGGCTTCTGCAGTTTTCTTTGGGGCTTGAGGATGAGGGTCAGGGTGAACCCTCGGGTTCAGGGTGCCATCGGGGGAAATTCCCCGACCCGGCGCAGGATGGCGCGAACGGCAGCCTGCTGGAGCACAGTGGTCGTCTGCCCATCGCCAGGCCATGAAAAGATGGGCCAAGCTTCACCTCCCAGAGGCATTGTGCCCCCCCCCCCCCCACGCCAGGCAAGCAAAAACGTGTGTTCCCATTTTGGGTGCCCTGATTGGGGAGGTATTGTGTTGTTAGCTGGTGTTAGTTGGTTGCGTGCGGGCGCTCCGGACTGTTCATCTAGACAGACCCATGCCTTCCCGGGCTCGAGACGGTTACGTCGGCCGTGGCCATTGTTCATCCGGGCGCTCTGGTTCGTGAGCTTCCTGCTAAGCAGACCAGACCCAGACCGGCACCACGAAGATGCTAGCGTCCGGCCTACTGCCTTGGATGGCGGGTCTGCTTGGCTTTTCAGACTTCCCGAAGTGTACCTTGCAGTGTGCCCTAAACCTTAAAACCCAAATCAGTCAAAATCCCTGCTAACCCTAAACCCTAAACCTTAATGCCCCAAACCCTAAACCCTAAACCTAAACCCTAAACCCTTAAACCCCTAAACACCCTAAAACCCTCGACCTTAGCCCGCGCAGGGCGGCCGCTGCATCCTCCGCCGTCTTTGGCGGAGCGCTGGTCGACGGACTGGCTGCTGCAGAGGCCTCCTTCACCTGCTCCTTCCGGTCCAGTTGTTTTTTGTTTTTTGTTTATGGTCTCCCTGAAAAAAATAGCCAACCCCAAAAAGGGTGCCCGTATCATAATATGGTTACTGGGCTACCATGTTCTTCTTGGCTTGACTATAGCTTCTCCTTGTCTCTGTCACTGGTGATGACTTGGTTTTTGCTTTCAAGGGCCATTTTGGGAACGGGGACCAGACGTTCGTACTACCCGGTTTGGATTTCAGCACAAGTTTTAAGTGACTCGGCCTTATAAAGCCTAAGTCATCTCAAACAATCCATGGAGATTTAAGCTAGGCCCTGCAGTGCCCCCCCCCCCCCCCCCCCCGAAACCTGTCAGTCAGGTGACAAGAACCCAAACCCGAGGCACGTGCAAGAACCTCCCGACTACAGAACCTGGCCACAGGTGTCTAGCCTGCTCAAGGCCGAGGCGACCCATGCTCCATGTTATATCGCGCCAGGCTTGGATCCTCATATTGTTTCGAAGACGTCATGTAGAAATATGCAAAATTACTTCCAGCTAGATTTGACCGGACTAAACAGCGAGAAATGAAGATGGATTTTGCCATGATGCTGCATCGATATTTGTCCGACTGTTTTGAGGGGGCCTATCTTGGGAAGCCCAAAGGTTGAGGGCAGCCCAACGGGTCTATCCAGACGAGTACAGCAACAAGCCTAATGCAAAAGGGTTTAGTTAGCTCTGCTGCGGACACAGCAGTCGGTTGTCGCGCCGGTCTTCGTCGGCTCTTTTCAGAATTGGTGCCACCCGGGCGTACGTGGGCTTGGGCGTGCGGTCTGCTTCGCCGTTATGTCAATGTGATGTCTGTATGCTTGTTTTCATGTTCTACGGGGAGTAGGGCATGGTCAACCGAGCTGACAAGACGGCCCTTGATTTCAGAAAGCTTCTTCGAGAACCCCTTTCAGCACGTCCAGGAGCCCAAGTAGGAGTACTTCATGGACAAACCCTAAACCCTAAACCCTAAACCCTAAACCCTAAACCCTAAACCCTGAACCCTAAACCCTATAATCCCTAAACCCCGAAACGTCTGCGGCCTCTCCAGGTGGGTGTGTGGATCAGCACTGGCAGCCAGGCGGGCTGTTCACAGGTACAGTTCGGTTTCGGGTTCAAGGGTTACGAAGTATGGGCCCTTAGTTTTTGGCCCCTTGTGGGTTGTACAAAAGGGGTCCTTGCCTTCCGCTCTTGAATAGGGTGATGAAAAAAATCGGTGAAGCGCGAAGGCAGATTGGACTACCGTCATCGGCCAACCTATTCCACAGCTCATGTATACACTGCAATGCGCGGGGCGCAGTTCGTTTCGGTCTGCCTGCCTCACCTCTCGTGTCGCTTTGTCGACGTAATCTGACGCGACCTGGCCGCGAACCCTAAACCCTAAACCCTAAACCCTAAACTCCAAACCCCAAACCCTAAACCCTAAACCCTAAACCCTATATTCCCTATATACTACTTTCAGAAGAGCCCTGGAGCCCCTGGTGCCTCCCCCCGATCAGGGCCAGGGCTTCTTCAGCGTTGCGGAGCAGCTCCTGGCAGCTCGGTTTGGTACCTGGGGTTTAGGGTTTAGGGTTTATGTTCACTCGGGTAGATCTGGGTCCATTGAAAAAAAAACAGGTCTCTCTCACTGGGTCGGCCGGCCCGAGATTGCCTGCATGCAACGGCAGTGCGAAAGCAGTGCTGGTGGGCTATCAAGTTGTTCGGCAGCTCAAAGCCGACTTGTAGCACCGTTCACAGAGAGAGCGTAGAGACCCCCAAGAGCATCTGCTTTAGGATAGCTTGCGCGCCGACATCAGCGCCACGACGTTGGGCAGCTTAGCACGGGGGGCCGTGCATGCGCTGTTGGACACTCGGCAGCGTCTGGAGCCTCAAGATCTGGAGCCTCAAGATGTGCTGCGTGTGTCGGGACGTATAGTGAAGTAGGGTTTAAGGTTTAGGGTTAAAACAAAAAAGAGGTTTTAGGGTTCAAAACCCGGCTCAAAACGGCTTAAGCTCTTTTGAAGGACGGCGGCTACTCCGATGGCACTGGCATCGCTCAAGCTGTGGCCGCAGGTGCCACTGAGGTCGTGGCGGTTTCTTGGCCCACAGGCTTGTGCGAATCTGAGGGGTGGTTCAGGTCTTGTTCTTGACGTAAGTTTAGGGTGATGAGCAGCAGTATGCTTCTCACACTGTTGTCTTCAGCTCTAGGGTTGCCTGGACGGCGGCCTGTAGGGCGCCCTGTCGGCTCGAACCTGGTGTTTGGGCCGGACAATCTATTTTTACAAAATCAATTAAGTCATTTTGTGTAGGTTTGTTATTATTATTATTATTATTATTATTATTATTATTATTATTATTATTATATAATAAACATCTAAATCCTTGACATGTTCACGTCAACGTTTGAATTCTTGTCATGAGCCATGTCGAGGATGTCGCAGACTGAGGTGCTGAACAGCTTCTCTACGAATGATGCCACCTACGTCGCGCAGCTGTTCCCCAACGCCACGACGCCTCTGAAGCCCGGGGCACTTGGGAGGAATTCAGGTCATTTTTTGCACAGCTCCCCCCAACCTAGACCTGTAAACCTCGGAAACCCCGGAAACCCCGGAAACCCTAGACCCTAAACCCCGAAAGCCTAAACCCTAAACCCGAAACCCCCTACAAAGCTTTTGGAGTTGAGGGCTCGGGTCCCAGCGAGGGGGCCCCAAGTAAAACCACGAGATGCCCCTGATGCCTTGAACTCAAAGCAACGCGGACGATTTTTTTGGAAGCCAAGATCACCCCAACAAAACAAACAGCCTAAACCCTAACCCCTAACCCTAAATCCTAAGCCCTAGGTACCGGCGCAGCTGTTCCCCGTCTTCGTGCCCGGGCGCAAGCAGGGGCTCAGGGCTTCGTAGGGCGAGCGCATGCGTACATGCCAGGTACCGCTGCCTACACCCTTGCCGCCCTAAATACACACACACGCACACACGCACACACACACACACACACACAAACACACACAGACACACACACACACACACACACACACACACACACACACACACACACACACACACACACACACACAGACAGACAGACAGACAGACAGACAGACAGACAGACAGACAGACAGACACACACAGACACACACACACACACACACACAGACAGACACACACAGACACACACACACACACACAGACAGACAGACAGACATACAGACAGACAGACAGACAGACAGACAGACAGACAGACAGACAGACAGACAGACAGACAGACAGACAGACAGACAGACAGACAGACAGACAGACAGACAGACAGACACACACACACACACACACACACACACCCATGCATGCATGCATGCATGCACACGCGCACACGCGCATCTTATCTGACTTTCACAACAACATCTGAGCTTCTTGCCGCCACGCAGCCTGCGAAGAAAGCCAAACTCCACAGTGCGTAAGTGTGTATGGGGCTGTTGCTTCATGAACTCTCCATACAAATGGTGTTCAAGCTTCGAAGCATGTGCTGATCATTTCACTGAGGAGGGGACTGAATTTCCACACAATCGACAGCGTTGCCTACCTTAGAACTGTCGCGAAAACCAATCGCTTACAGTCGCTTCCACTCCAACGTCCTGCGCAGGCTAAGGCCCGAGGCTGAGCCCGAAATCTGCCGCACGGCCCCCTGCCGCGAAGCGCTTCGTATTCACTTTTGTGTGCTTAGACTCAGTAGCTCTACTGAGCGAACAACGCATACTTTCAAACGCATATCACGACGCTGTTGCAGCCGGGAGAGCAGCCTTAGGGCCTTCCAATCTATGAAAACAACAAGTTAATGTCCATCGGTCCATCGCCTTCCGCGGCTGGCTCCAGTATCGTGCTGTCGGTTCTCCCTCAGTGCGAAAACGCTTGGGTACGCAGCTGTTGGTATTTGGTATTGGCAAACAAGGTCTTCCTGACAACAACTTGGATGTAAGATCCTGGTAAACTTCCCCCTCCCCCGCTCGCAAGAGTGCTTGGGACTAAGATTTTCTGAGTTTGAACCCAAGCTCGCGAAACGTCTTCAAGACCATATGTACTGTGTTTGGAGTATATCCAGTGTTTCTTGCCTGCAACTCGCCAACAAAGCAAAACCAAACCGTAAAAATGACAATTGCACCACCGAAGACCCCAAACAGTCAAAGGCAGATCAAAGAAACAGTGGAGACGACGGGAGACAAAGGGAGACGAAGGCAGACACAGGGAGGAGAGGAGCACAGCAACCCGGCAAAGCCACCCACATGAAGGGAGACAAAGGGAGACAAGGAGCCCAGGAGCCCGGCAACAGTCCTCAGAATGTCGGCAATCCTTAAATGAATTTAGAACCCCAACAGTAGACTGTTTGGGGAAAACAATAAAAAAGAAACGATGCAGTCCGGGAAACCAGTTCGAGAATAGTGCCCACCGCAAAAATCACGAACAACAGTCTCCAAGTGTTGGGGCGCAGGCGGCGACACAGTTTTGAAATATGTCGGAATACACAAAAAAGTATCACAACATTCAGAGGGGTGTGCAAGCTTGTTCGCCTTGGCCCCACGAGTCTCTATGAGCCTCTACCGCCAGACAATCTCAACGCCGGAAAATCCGCCACGACCCCACCGATAAAGAGGCCATACCTTCTCGAGACCCTTAGACGGGCAGCTGCGAAGCAGCAACAGCAAAACCAGCAGCACCCTTCTTTGAGCGAGAAACCTGATGAGACTCATGATGCTGGCTATTTCTGAATTGTCCCATGTTGTTTTCCGGAGAAGCATGCGGTTGGGAAACAAGCTCCATGGTATTCCAGGATGCTCGCCTTCCCCAAGAAGGCAGTCAGAGGGCGGGCTGTGCCATGATGATGCCAGAAAAGTTTCCCCAGCGGCTCCAGACAGACTGGGTTTCTACATGCGTGTACCTCTCAGCATGGGTTACAAAGGCCCAGCCGACAGTTTTGGCACGTATGCAGGTCAGTCATGATTTTGCTTCTGGACAGTGACAGGTTCGGGGTCCGGGTTTGAAAGGTTCAGATCAAGCTTGAAGCAAATGATCTGATGAACGCGTTTGCAACTTGCTCTCTGTGAACATACAGGGGTTCAGATTTCCCCTGGGGAAAGGCTAATGCAAGCAGACAGGTCTACATACGAAAGATGATGGCCATGTGGCACAAAGTCGCTGCTTTTATTTTCACACACCTATATGTATTTATGTGTATATGTACATATGTACATATGTATAAATGTATATATGTATAGATGTATATCTAATATCTAATATATATATATATATATATGTGTGTGTATTGTATATGTGCATATGTGTGTATGTGTATATATGTATATTTGTATGCATTTGTATAGCTTTGCATCTATTTGTATATTTGTATATATTTGTATATATTTGCACATGTATACATGTATACATGTATATATGTACACATGTATAGATGTACGTATATATACATTTTTGGTACCAGTACCTCACCCTGGAGAATCTACTGCCGGAGGGGGAGGGTTTCAGCTACCTCCAAACCTTAGTCAGAAACTTTACATGAAAGTGAAGACATCACTTCCGCCTATTCGTTGAGGCGCTGGGGCCAAATTTTCTTCCTTGTTCCTAATTTACGGTTATTTCGAAGGCTAGACCTCTTTCGGCACCGGGGGTCTGTGGTCTGAGGTCTGGTGTGTGGGGTGTGGGCTGTGGGGCGTGGGGCATGGGGCGTGGGGCGGGGTGGGGTGTGCGGAGTGGGCACCTTGCCGGCGACAAAGCACTTCACTCGTTCCTGTGAGGACAAATCTCTGCAGAGTAGGCAAACGGATCTCGAACATCGCCACGTAGCACCGTGCGCCCAGATCTCACATAGGTGCACGCACTTGAGCACCACGCGGGGATGGGCTGTGGGGTGGGGTGGGTGTAGGGTGCGAGTTGGGGGGGGGAGGGTTAGCGGGTCCTGCCTAAGTTGGATGAAACCCCCTTCCCCGCTTATTCCTGATTTTCGGGCTCCTAAACCTTGCATTCGCTAAATTTAAGGCGAGGAAATGGCTTTGGCTCAAGCATCAAACCAATAAGGTTGAGGAAAAATAAAATTTAGTGATTAAGGCTAAGGGTTTATATGTGTTAAGCATAAGGTTTGGGCCTACAGAACCTGGCCTGAAAAGATAGATTCTGGGAAGGGGGAGCATTGAAATGAAAACACACATACAAAAACATATAAAAATATGCACATATACAGGTTCATTTTCCACTGCTAATGGAAGGTAATGGGCAAGAGTTCTCTACCATTGCTCCAGCACACAAAGAGCATCTTTCTCCCCCCCAATACATCAGCTGTAGGCCAGAGGGTTCTAGGACGGAGCATGAGGGACCCCACATGCTGACCTCTGCTGCTGAGCTCAGCACTCCGAATAGCATCATGGTGTCTGCTGAAGCTGGCATCTCCTCATGTATGTTCTCTCGTGGTTGACTTGGGACTGCGATGCACTGCACGAGTGAGCAGACTCAGCAAGCTTTGTCCTGGCTAGGCAACTCCCCACTAGAGCTAGCGGCTAGCCGCAGCTCGCACGCTGGGTCTGCTGCGGCGCGTGTATTTCCACGCTGGCACGTTGGCCACAAAACTGTTCATAAAAATGCAAAGGATGATTTAATCATCTTGCTCAAAACACTATGCCCCGCTCATCAGCGGCCTTGGGACGCTATTGCGGGGTCGATCCCGAAGCAGCAGGATCCCCTCGGCGCAGCTGTCATTGGAACATTCTTAGTACTCAAATTTTTAGGACACACAGACTTTAGACAAACTTTGTGCCACCGCTTGCCACAACACCTCTGACTCCCTCCAAGGCGTCAGCCAAAAAACTGGACACGACGAGCGCAGTGTCTGCACCACGACTCGTCCTGTTCCGCTTTGAGCAAGAAAGCGACCAAAAGGTGTGCAGAAAACCAAGGACGTGCAAGGATTCTGAACTCAATCCGGCCTGAGGTCCAGGAAATGCTCTTCCCCGTAAGCTTGCAGCTCAATGGAGGCAACCTGCATTCAGCAACGCGAATTCAACGTTTTATACAACAAATGTCCCAAGTTGCCCCCGGCTTGCCCCTGGGGCCGCCGCTGGCTGCCCGTCACTTGCTGCCTTCGCAGCGAGACGGAATTTCTCTGGATCTCCCTGGACCACGAGCATCGCTCGCTCTGCCTGAGAACATCTCAGAACTGCTGCAAGAAAGGTCGCAAATGGTCGCGAAAGTGTTGCAATGGAGAACCACGGGCTGACAGAAATAGCAACTAGCAGGGAATGATGTCAGGAGTGCCTTTCCGGACGAGCTTGTCACAACCACAGAGAAGGAGACCTGGCAATCGAGGTCGCTAGAGGTGCATTGAACAAAGACTTTCTTTCAACTTCAGTTGAAGTGGCTTGTGTGGAGAGCGTGGGGTTGGTAGATTGTAGTCATCTTAGTCAACCATTCTCCTCGCCTATTCCCCAGAAAACACATCCTGCAGGGAATCCCGCCGAGTATCCCTGGACCCATGGAATCCCGCTTTGCATCGAGCCGTGCATGAACAACTTCGTAAGCTTTGCACATGGAGAGGATCGAAGTGAACAATTGGCCAACTTCATTTCCGCAACCTCGGTGTGGGTTTGCTAGCGCTCATCCCCAGAGAGTCCTCCATCGAGTATCCTTGGAATTCACCAGCCAGTACTTGCCGGTTGCGCATATTGTATGTATGCATTTCTCATCATTTCTCGAAATTCCTGACGGCTGGATGCCTGCAGCTCCCAGGCTGCATCTATTGGGCTCGCCGCATCGGCAGGTCTACTTGTGTCATCCCCTCCTAGGACGTCCCAGGGATGCAGCAATGAAACGATTCCTAGAGTTGTACAAGTACAGTCGCAGATCCCTGCGCTGCTCCAAGTGCAGAATGAACGCCAACCAAATGCGGGTTGAGATACTCACTTCTTTTGGGGAGGGGGCACCCGAAAACTTGGAATCCCGGGAGCCTGGAAACATGGGAGCGAGTTATATTCATCTTGTCATTTTATGATTTTGTTCAGCCAAAGAAGATCATGCCATGAAGTCTACAAGCCCTAGACCCTAAAGCCTAGACATGAAGCCCAACACCCAGGTTTTCCCAAAGTTTAGGGCTTACGCTTGAAGGCCGGTCTTGGCCGGCCTCTTTAGGGTTTAAGCTAGGGGTTTAGAGCTGGGAGCTCTTAGGACTTGTTGGGGCCTCGTGCTCAGTAGGATGGTTTAGGGCTTGCAGGTAGGGCTTTATAATAAGGGTTTCGGTTGCAGGGTTCTCGAACTTCAGGCTTTCGCCTGTTTTCTCTTGGATGCTATAAGCGAAGCCATGTTTGATTGCCACACGGAGATGCTATGGAGGCCCTGGAACCTGGGAAGTTTGTTTTGATCCTATGATCCTATACATTTCACAGAACTTCAGGGAAGGACACCCCAAAAATAGTTTACGGGATTCCTTGGCGGGTGGGCAATCCAGGCATACTCGACGACGTTCTCTGCGGGATTCTCTCGGGGTGGGTGGGATACTTAGTGGGATACTTAGCGGCGCTCGCTGCAAGATTCTCCGAAGTCGTTGGCATTTCGGGCATTTCGGGATACTTGGTGCTGGGACTCTTCGCGGGATTCCTTGGTTGGGGGTGGGCATTCCAGGTCGTCTTGGTGAGATGGCGGACCCAGGGAAGGAGACCGCGGAGTAGGCGAGTTTGAATGGCCGTCTTCTAATCCAATAACCCCACACTGACCCACACTGAAAGTGGGGGAACAAAACAGCAAAGGCGTAAGTCATCGTAAGTCTCTTTCTTTCCAAAACTGGCTGATTGACTGCCCCGGCTTCTTGGAACCCAGGAAGATCATAAGCTGTCAACGTCTTATGATTTCGAAAAGGATGCTTCGTGCGACCTCCCGACAATCGCGAATGCGGGGGTGGAGGCGATCATTCTTTGTTCTCCAGAAGGTGTTGGGGGCCGCAAGAAACTCACCGACGCTTGGAGGGCAGCAGCTGCCAAGAGCCTGTTCCTAAGCTCCTAAGCTTCATCTGAGATGAAGTACAGTACTGTAGGAGTTGATTTGCCAAGTCGGGGATCTGTTTCACAGCTGAGCGTGTCACACAGCCAATGCCGTGATCCTTGAGCTACCGTACCACTTTGTCACATTGTGGCTGCAAACAAGCCGTCCGGCCTCGTCCTGGCTCTTCTGTGGCTGCTCATGTTCAACAATTTTACCATAGACTGCTCCGTCACCTCTGCAAATGTCGATCCTGCAGGGGCACAGCCATGAGCTCTCCCCCGAAACTGCTGGGAAGTTCAAGCACTCCTGCCTGCAAGCGTCCTGTGCTGGCTTCAGAGACACCTTGCTCACCAGTTCGCTGCTTCGCTGTGCCATGTGAACATCAAAGGCACTCCTGAGTGTTGCTCATATCTTCTTTTGTCATTTGGAGCAAAAAAAAAAGAATTCAACACTACAATTTGTAGTGTCGCAGAGTGTCGTAGCTACACACAGATTAGGACTGAGCCTCCAGGCCCGAAATGGCTGCCTTGGGCTGCCTGCTTAGGCCCCCGGCCCGCAAGCTGTGATGTGAAGGATCTTGTTCCCCAGGGGCCCGATCCTCGGGAAGAAACGATATGGAAAGTGCCCTTTTGTGCTCTCTCTGTCCGTCTCTTCGGCTCTTCTTCGGCTCTTCTTGGGCTCTTCTTGGCGGCTTCTCTCCCTGTGCTCTAAAGAGCCCAGGGTCACAAAAAATCGGCCGGCACCAGTCTTTTGAACTGTCTGAACAGCGTCAAGGCTGACCTCCGCGGCACGAAGTGGACTAGAATGGCTACACATGGCTGCAGAAATTTGAGAGTGAACGCAAGAGCAAATTTCACCATTGCTTGGCTGTCTTCTGCTTGTTGTTGTTGAGAGATTATATGAGAGTTCTAGTCCACAGTAGCTGTCATATCAGCTGATGCCATTCTTGCAATAGAAGTGCCCGTGTGCCTTCTCACGAACTAATTGCAGCCTCTCAGTGGGACGGAAGAACGTTTTCAGTATGAAGAACGTTTTCAGTAATAGTCACGATGGATGTGAAGCAACATTGTCCACTCCCAAGACGCCCATCGCGGCCTCCAACTGACCTTCGCGCGCTGGAAGAACCAATGCTGGAAACAGAGGTTGCAATGGTGCTGCTGAAGCCATAAACATTTCTCCTCAGCCAACACATGCACGCTGACATCAGCTACAGGCAATGCGTTTGCTGGCATCTTTAAGTCGGACCACAAGTTCCGGGTTGCACCGTTCTGATTCACCTGACAAGGATGAATCTTCACATTCTCCTTGGGGCCCTGTGACCCTGTGGCAGGCTACAGTGCGGCCACAGCCTCCGTCATGTCACGAGGGGCTTCAGACTCAGGCCGGGCCGAGGCGGTACGCCCCACTCGTTGGGGGGGGGGGCCCTTTCCCCCCCCCCCCCCCCCCCCCCCCCCCCCCCCCCCCCTGCCCCCTTCTGCCCCCCCCCCTCCCCCCCCCCTGCCCCCCCCCTGCGCAAGCCACAAGCTTGACAGGAAACAACCACCATGGGCCCCCACCCCCACCCCCCCCCTTCCCCCCCCCCCCCCTGCCCCGCCCCTGCCGCCCTGCCCCCCCCCTCAAGCCACAAGCTTGACAGGAAGCCACACGAAACAACTCCCAACATCGTTTGCATCGTTTGCATTCATGCTCATGCATCGGCTGCTCAGAACAGCGTGGCGAAACGCTCAAAGCTCCGCTGGACCGATGTTCCTATCTACACCTCTACTGGCCTCTCCCGTTCCCAGTCTGTAGATCTTTGGAGATTTTTTCGATTTTCTCAAGCTAGATTGAGATGAGATGTGGGCAGTCCTGTTGGTCGTCCTGCAGCAGAGATGGCAGAGAGCCGCAAGGGCGGCACCCTCTGAGAGGAGCCAGCCTGCAAGCCCAAAACGCCCTTGACAATACTCACAGCCTGGCACAATGTGACACACAGAAATGGCCAGACACCTCCTAACATCCCAACAATTCCAGGCCTGAGAGGCTAACGACATGCGGCTCGCTGGCATGCCGGACGCTTGCCCCTGGCTTGTGCGGCCTCCTTGCGCAGAAGGCATGATCTGGAATGGTGCGGTGCGAATGACGGTGATTTGGACTGCACTTGAAGAACTGCGGACATTCGGCGTACCAAACCATGTCGAAACCCCAGCGTCACTACTCAGGGACTGAGAGAAAGAAAGAGAAAGAGAGTACGAGTGTGAGTGTGAGAGAGATGAGAGAGTGCGAGTGTTTCGAGCCTTGAAGAGCTTCCTTTGGTGGAAGCGATTGCTGGCTTAAAGCCAAATGCGGATCCTGCCAGTCGCTCTCATGCCGAGCCAAGCAGCTACCCCCTCTCCCACAAGATGCCACATCGTCCACACCTGCGTCCGAGAAGATGGTGTCTGAAGTGTCCGCTGACTCCTGCACTGCTATCGCTGACATACGAAGAGCCCCTCCTGAAAATATGTCAAAGCGGGTCCTTGACCGTGAGTACCCATCCTGCACTTCCAGATGTGTCCGTGTAGATATGGAGACAGGGAAACATGCATGACATGCTTGAAACAGACCATGAGCGCCAGAATCTAGCAATGCCTATGCCCAGCAAGGTTTGTGCCTAAATGGGCTGCCGGGCACAGATTATTCTTTCATCTGGATTTGCTTTCTTCACGGAATCTGGCTTTCCTTTGGTGCGCCATGTTTGTATTGGTCGTTGTCGTAGCAGTCGTCGTCGTAGCAGTCGTCGTCATGGCAGTCGCAGTTGCAGTCACCCGTAGCCGTCGCCGTCGGTAGTGGTAGTGGTAGTGGTGGTGGTAGTGGTAGTGGTGGTGGTGGTGGTGGTAGTGGTGGTGGTAGTGGTAGTGGTGGTGGTGGTGGTGGTGGTGGTGGTGGTGGTAGTGGTAGTGGTAGTCGTGGTAGTCGTGGTAGTCGTGGTAGTCGTGGTAGTCGTAGTAGTCGTAGTAGTCGTAGTAGTCGTAGTAGTAGTAGTAGTAGTAGTAGTAGTAGTAGTAGTAGTAGTAGTAGTAGTAGTAGTAGTAGTAGTAGTAGTAGTAGTAGTAGTAGTAGTAGTAGTAGTAGTAGTAGTAGTAGTAGTAGTAGTAGTAGTAGTAGTAGTAGTAGTAGTAGTAGTAGTAGTAGTAGTAGTAGTAGTAGTAGTAGTAGTAGTAGTAGTAGTAGTAGTAGCAGTAGTAGAAGTAGTAGTGGTAGTAGTAGTAGTAGTAGTAGTAGGAGGAGTAGGAGTAGGAGTAGGAGTAGGAGTAGGAATAGGAATATTGAATAGGAGGAATAGTAGGAGTAGGAGTAGTAGTAGGAGGAGCTAGGACTAGAACGGACTGGGACACCGGGACTCGGGGCAGCAGCGGCGGCGGCAACAGCAGCGGCAGACGCAGAGGCTGGGCGTGCAAAAACCAATTGCTCGCAAGCCCAGTCGCCGAGGCAGGAAAGGGCTTGGGACCTGTAACGGCATGCTCTCTGTTAAAAATAGCCCCACTGTTTCGTAATAACTTTCGTGGATTGTCGCTTTCCTTTTGCGGACCCACCACGAGACTTTCGCCAATACACTGGCTTTTTATGTTAAAAACATGTTATAATAAAAGACACTCCACAGACCATTGGATCAACCCTGCGATTTATAGTAGGTTTCACTCAGTATGCTTTGGCATCTACTTGGGCCGCGGTCCTGTGAGCACTCAGAGGGCGCAAAGGTCCGGCAGTCTGCGCTGAAACTGAACAGCATAGCAAAACCTCAGGCATCACATGCAACAGGCCTCAAAATCAGTGGGCTGGCGCTTGTGGGGTTCTCTTAAACTATGCTTGGGATGTGAGCTTTACGCAGGCTCGACAAATTATATCAAACTACTTCTGAGTTCTAACATCCCAAGAGGGACGTCGCTTTTGATGTCACGTTTCATGGAAAATAAGGCACCCAAGCCTTCCAATCTTACCGCTTCACGGATCAGCTGCACTCAAATTCAAGCTACCGAGACGACTCTGAATGTACTCCAGCTTGAGAGTTTTGTTAAGGTTTCTCTAGGGTCTTTCAAGTTCCGACAGTTCCGACATGACACAGCAATCTCGGTTCAAGCTTGGTTGACCTGAAGTCAAAAGTCAACAATCGGTGTTCTTGGACAATCTGGACCATGTCCGTGTAAATTTCTAGAAGGACCCCACAGTTCCTGTCCTGCACGGGGAACCGGGTGGAGCGTCACACAATGTGCCCCATGGAGGTGACCCTTTAAACGTTTTAGTAGAAGTTGTGCAGCTGTGTCGCACGCGATAAGGATGCCGGTCATGATCAAAAACGGTCCCACCTCAATGAAACACTTTTGACCCTGCGGAGCCGATGCACAAAACACCCGCAAGACACACGAGTCTCGCACGAACTGCAAGAATTCTGCAAGAACTGCCAACTTTGGGCTGCTGGCAAAGACAAAGGTGGCGGAAGGTCGGACCATCTGCTGTGCAGTGCTGCGTGCTGCTGCCAGAACCTGCACCAGCATAGAGTCATTGCCAGGCTGTACTCCTCACCAGGCAGAAAAACCGACGGAACTGTCATAAAGATTTTGCAGCACCCCATGAATCGTGACTTCGTCCTCGCCAGCCCGAGCTCTGGAAATCCGGAGGCTCATTTGTGGAGATCATTGCTGTCTTTGAGGTCACGTTCGACGACGGTCTTTTCAAATCTCCTGTGTGAAGGGGTCGAGGCTACCGAACCTGACTTATGGGATCTGGAAGGGCTTAGCCGCTTTAGAACATGGATTTCTGGACTTCCAAGAGCAACTCGGCCTTCAAGTTTCTGCAAGCTTCGGTTGCCTTCCTGAACAAGCCGTGAAACATCATGAGGCCCTTATTGGAACTTCTGATTCTGCAAGAGTGGAATCTGAGTGGAACGCCTTGACATGCTGGGGCTGTGGTTTCACCTCTCCGAGTTGCAACAGCGTGCAAATGTGTGCAGCGTGTTTGATTGCATTCTCATGAAGAAAGCTGAAAGCTGTGTGAGGGAAGGCTGAGGCCTGCACACTCTGAACCAAGGCTGTGGCATCACTGTCAAAGATGCCAGTCGGACTATCGCAATGCCTCCACTCACGAGTTCGACATCCGAAATCAGTTGCGAAGTCCCTGTGCAGACATTGAACTGAAATCCAAAGGCCTTGATGATGCTTGCAAGGCGTGGCATCTTGCTGCGCATTGTCTGCTCAGACATGTGGCAAGCAGCGCTGTTCGAATGGCAAGCCTGCCGCGAGGACACATGAATCCTGCACCTTGCCTATGGTTGCTTGGATACATCGACTCTCGACCTTTGCCTTTGTGTGAAGAACTGGTGCCGTCGGTTCAATGAGCCCATTGCATGGCTCGTGCAATTCAAGGCGAGGCGACTCTGGCACAGAGGGGGGGCTCGGTTGTGTATAGAAAAAGCTGCGCATAGCTACGTGTCAAAAAGGGACATGCAGCATCGAATGGCAAATGGTTCACGTTTGTCCCCGACCATCCAACCCAGAGCTGCTCCTTGCCGCGGTATCCATGCCTTGTAGGAGAATCGGTCTCCAACGGTGAGGTGTCTGTGTCTGAGCACGTCACCTTGGAATAAGAATTGCACGCATTGCCCTCGACAGTTGATTCAACCTGTTGCACAGCGGTGGACAGAACCCTCCGTGGTGTTCGCGGCCTCCGAGTCGGCTGCACGGATGGTGAAAAACGCATTTAAGAACGTGCGCAAGTAAACGCGCACAAGGCCTCCGTTGCTAGCCAAGGGTGGATCAAGCAGCCTCAACAGACCAAGTGACGACATGAGTTCTCTATCCCTGCACGACCTCAACGAAGCTCATCTTAAGCTTGCCGCTGTTTTGGTCGAACCGATCCGAAGGGTCGACGCGCAAGAGCCCCTGCCTCCAGCCGGGCCAAAAGCTCGAAAACATGCCCACAGTTTGCATTGGTCAATTTCGAAGCCTCGTGCACGCATCTTGTGTTCAGTTTCTAATGATTGAAAGCTGAGCTAAAGTTCCAACAGGGTCTTGTTGTTAAGCCGCGGGTTCTGCGCATAACCATGCGTAACTCAAGATGACTCTCAGCTTCTGCAAGGCGAGAATGGGCTTAGACCAAAAGTCCAACTCTCCGTGGGGTGATTCGGCTGATGCCCAGACTCACACGTGATGCATCTTCATGTTACCGCAGACCGTGGCGTTATTGCAGAAGATTCGCAATTCATGGCATCTGGGCTGCTCATGTGGAGGCGGAAATCGGCAAGGGACATTTGCAGCCCGAGCCGACACGATCTGTGTGAACCGCAGAAGTTTTGCCTTCCCAAGGCCTGGCAGCCACTCTGGGCCTCAAAAAATTCTTTATTTGTCTTTGCTGAGATCTATGAAAATCTGCGCCCTTGACCCTCTCTCTCAGCTAAGGCCTGGTGCCGTGCGGGCGTTTGTTCTGGGACCTCCCGCTTAATATTTGCTGAACAATTTAGATCTGAGGGCTTTTAGTCTTAGGTGCTGGTTATAACGTTGACGGGCAGATCCAACCACAGACTACGTAAACATTGAAAGGCAGGCCATGGCAGGCCACAGGGTAAGGCATGGTGAAGAACTTGACCGCACCATCCTGTACCACTTCACAGGTCGTACACCTAGCCTATAGACCCAAGGCCCAAGAATGTGCAAAGCAATGTCTCTTTTTTTGGTTGCGATTTGGCGTCAAGTTCAAGTCTCGACAAGCGGCCGGTTTCAAAAGGTATGATGCTAGCTAACGCCCGAGGCTTGCACACCTGAGCCCCAGAAGGCACGATCGTGAAGCCAAATCGAGGCTGTAAGGCTAAGGTGGCTTGAGTCCCTCATGTGGCATTTGGCAGAGGCAGACAAGGCGGCTAGGTGTGAAGAATGTTGGCAGGGTCTCACAATATCTCAAGTCGGACTATGACCATAAGCGAATTAAAGCCGTGACCCTCAAAACCCCTGGCCCGTGCCCAGGCGAGAGCACAATTTGGACCCAAAACGGGCGCTGTAAATTGCGCGAGAGCGCAAGTGTGCATGGTGTGTGCGTGTGTGGGTGTGTGTGTGGGTGTGTGGGTGAACAAATTCAGGTTAAGACCACGCACAGAGCTGAACAACGACCCAGCGACATCTTAAAACGATGAAAATTGAACTTAAATACCTTGAAAAGTGGGTGGGTGGGTGGGTGGGTGGGTGGGTGGGTGTGTGTGTGTGTGTGTGTGTGTGTGTGTGTGTGTGTGTGTGTCTGTGTCTGTGTCTGTGTTTGTGTCTGTGTCTGTGTCTGTGTGTGCGTGTGTGTGGGTGGGTGTAGTGGGTGTGTATGTGTGTGGGTGTGTGCGCGTGTTTAGCTGTGTACTTCAACCCAACCCTCCTTGCTGCCAATTCGTTTCAATTCGCTTATGGTGCACCGAAGAGAAATGCTGCATATTGCAGCGAAAGTGCGACATGAAAACCAAGAGAACGAACAGGACCAGTCAGAATAGTTCTGCGGCTTTTACCATGAAGTTGTGTGCGCTTACTTCTTGCACTGAAAGTTCAATAAAGAACGGACAGCAGTGCCTGAGCACAGTCTCTTCGCAACATCCACCACCCAACTTTTGACAGGCGTCAACGAAATAGATCGAAATAGGCAACTTGGTAACTGCGCACTCAGTGGCACTCAGTGCGTCGCACGAAGTCCTTGGCATCCTCGGACCCTGTTCGCCAGGCCTTGGCGGCGAGATGCCCCCGAATTGAAAACACATCTCCCTACAGAGCCATCCTCACTTCCGATGCACAGATGCAAGCAGGCAATCCTGGGACAAGATTTTGCTTGGTATCCGAAAGTCTCAGCAGTCCCCAGGAAGACATGTGTTTAAATTTTCGCTACGCAGGAAAACCCCCCCTTCAGACCGCTTCCCGAAAGGTCAGCTCTTCTCTTTTGGGCAAAAGCAAACTCCCGACACCCTTGTTCCGTGAACAAGTGCGGTGCGTAGGCGAAGGTTTGAGAAGGGTCGAAGATGCTTGCATAGCAGTGCAGTACACGGAACTTGACCGTTCACTAGTTCCCCACCCACCTACTCCGCAGATTTGGGAGAAAACTTTGATTGCCCACAGGGTGGCTGACGGGCACCATGCCTCCCCCCTCCCTAGGCAACTTGAACTTGCAGGCAGTTTTTGCCAGAGTAAGTAAGCATCCATGAGCTGACCACCGTAGGGCTGTACTGAATAATTGCAGGGGAAACTGGGGGCGAATGGGGAGCCTGCTGCCTGAAACCTCCTTACCTGGCAGCTGCCGGTTGCAATCAAGGCGAGCTATTTAACACCACAGAGGCTCCCACCTGGAAGGACAGTCTTTGTCCCGTCAGGTGCTTGATGTCTGCAACACCTGCCCGTTTGGTTGTCTTGAGCAGAAAACGCAGTAACGCGAATGCATATCCCTGTTGATCATGTCTGCTGTCTACCGTCTACCATTGTCTCACTGTCGACAATTCGGAGGGCATTGAAGATCACTGCGCGCGTAAGGACCGGCACATGAAACACATTAGCATGCGTCTCAGCCTCTGTAGCTACGGAATGCACCGCGATTCGACAATAGGCCTTCTATCTCGAAGGGAAGCCGGCCAGACAGCCTCATCATGAGAATCCTACAACAGATGTCGCAGCACAGGACAACAGGCCGGCACATGACGTACAGCAAGACGCCAAAGCTCCAGAAATCGATGCGCCTGTCACGCGAAGCTTCGTGGAAACGCTATGCTGCGGCCTTCAAGATAAGACGCATGTTGCAAGATTCTGCAAACATGGCAGAAAGGCTCATCATACTGACCTGTGATAACCTCTCAGCCAATCTGACAGGCATCCCTGCTTGACTGACCCAACATGAACTCGCTTGTGCACTCGGGTGAACAGTCGCTTGCAGAGGTTTGTGTTGATTGAAGAATTGGGAGGCTCGTGGAGGACTGCACCCAGAGTCGCCCGAAGGTTCCACTTGCTACAATAGCCTGGTAAGCAAACGTCTCATACCTCTCCACATTCTTCACTTGCAAGTGGCCAGGAACGAAGGCAGCAGCTATGAACTGCCGTGAGCATCTGTCTTGTGCAAGCGCTTATGTGCGCTAAATAACCATGCTGCTTGTGCGGTGAGCTTTTTTGACAAGCGTGCCTCAGGAGCCAAGTAGTCCAGTGTCCCGCAAGCAGTCATACCTTGCGGGAAGTATACCAACGCTTGACTAGGCTTGTGCAGAACCGCACAGCAGGGATCATCAGAACCGACATCAGGGTTGCCTGCTTCTTGTTCTCCGACGCGTCTCAAGCACTTCGACAAGCCAAAGTCTGCTATCTTGACGTCATGCCTCGAGGAAGCTACATCGAGAGCACGGCTCCTCTAGCCTTCTAGCCTCTAGACCTATCTACTCGGGTTATGCGCCCAACTTCCAGGCATCGTTTCAGACTCGCAGCAGGGGGAGGAAGGAGGAGACGTGCCAGACGTGCATCACATTTTTGGTACGAACGACTGCCAGCGGTGTCCAACAATTCTCGTTCCAGTGCGGCAAGTGCAGCCCCAGGTTGACTTTGTCACCGTGCACGGCCGCGCTCTGTAAGGATAAGAACAGTCTGGCTCACCACGTTATCATATCGGTGATTGAAACCACACGCAATGTACAGCATGCCTGGTCAGCACTACAGCCGGCTTGCAGACCTTGACCCACCTTGACCTTGCTCTAACCCGCATCGAAAGCAGCCGACTCTAGGGAAAATGTGAACAGGCTTTGCCAAACTAAAACTAGTTCGTGGCTGCAGCTGGTACCTGTGAGCAGCTTGCAGCTCATAGCTAGAAGACTAGCCCGCTTGTGCACAGTGGTAACCCACGCGACCTGTACCACATGGGCTATCATGGGCTCAGGCCATGAGCCGGACACAAGTCGGCCCGGCAATCTCTCTGCTTGCTTGGGAATCAGTGCGGGGCAGAGTTGGCTGCGCTCCGTTTTCCAAGCGTCTTGGCCACTCAATCATGCCACAAGACAGCAAGCTAATCAGTCTGGAGTTCTTGGAGTGCTTGTCTTCCATACTTGAAGGATCCAAGTTACGTGTCTTCGGCGAGTCCCTCGGGTCCCTCGCTCCGAACAAGCCATGGTACCACGGCTGCTCTGTCCGCTGCAAGTTGCCGCTCAATCCATCCCGCGAGAGCGCTCGGCTAGAAGCACGTAGTAAGACTGGACCAGTAGTCCCCATAACCCATAACTTCTGGAACCACGTGTATGTCAAAAAGAACCCAAGAAGATAACAAGACCCGCCAGCTCCGAGAATCCCGATGTTTTTTAGGCGTTCGCCCATGCGCACGCGATCAGGATCCATCTGAGCGGCAGAGAAAGACATCTGACCTCCAAGCAAAAACATATCCGCGACATGAGGCGATGGCACTACAATCGGATCATCACTCTCTTTCGCGGGCGAAGAGCCCGTGTGCACACTCTCACCCTCTCACACTCTAGTCTTGTTTATTTTCTTTCGTGTGGCAAGCCCCTACTCCAGCTTGCTCTCACTCTCTCTTTCTCTGCACGCTTGGTCACCCCCCCGAAGGGAGCCGCCCCGAAAGGTGCGCGAGTCCCACGTGCTGTCTGTGAGCAGTCTCTGACACACTCTCACTCTCATCATCTTCTTCTGCTTCTTCTTCCGCACTCCATCTCCCTGGCATTGTGCAGGCAAGGCAATCCGTCCTAAACAGCCGGTGCTGGATTTCTTGCTTCTCTCCCCGAACACAAAAAGGACAAACATCGCGAAGCAGGACATGTATGTATACATAATATATATATATATATATATATATTTATATTTTTTTTTTTCTCTCGTATTCCTGGGTGCAGGTTTGCTTATTCTTGCTGCAGGTTTAGTTCTGTTCCATAAAATCATTGATTTTGCTTTGGACAGTACAGCATTATGGAGGCGTGGGACTGCAAAAACGCTGTACTGTCCCCAAAAAACCTTTTGCAGCACAAACCAGCAAACATGCCGCACTGTCCCAAACAAAAAAGAAAAACAATCTTTTGGAACCTCCAAGCCATTTGGCGCCGAGGTTGACAAACTTTGTTTTTTTGGGACAGTACAGCATATTGGAGGCCTGGGACTGCAAAAAATGCTGTACTGTCCCAAAACAATTTGGAGGCATGGGACTGCAAAGACGCTGTACTGTCACAAACAAATCAACATTTTTAAGCAATGAACAAGCAAAAATGCCGTACTATCCCCAAAAAACAAACAAACCAATCTCCAGGCCATTTGGCGCCCGAGGTCTCCAAACTTGGTTTCTTTTTGAAACAGTACAGATTTTTGCTGTAATTCTTTAACAGCATTGGTGTTTTTTGACGGTACAGCATTTAGGAGGCCTCGGACTGCAAAAATGCTGTACTGTCACAAAAAACAACAATCTTTTTAAGCAAAAACAAGCAAAAATGCGGTACTGTCCCAAAAACCAAACAAACCAATCTTTTGGAGCCTCCAGGCCAGTTGGCGCTCGAGGTCTCCAAACTTTGTTTCTGTTTGGGACAGTACAGCATTTTTGCCTTTGTTCTTTAACAGCATTGGTGCTTTTTTTGGACAGTACACCATTTAGGAGCCCAAAAACCAATGACTTTAGGCAAAACAAACAAAAACGCCGTACTGTCCCAAAGAACCCACAAAATCAATCTTTTGGAACCTCCAGGCCATTTGACGCCCGAGGTCTCGAAACTTGTTTTTTTTGGGTTTTTTCGGACAGCACAGCGTTCTTGCATTGCTTTTCTCTGCAAGGGACAGTACAGCGTTTTGCAGTCCCAGGCCTCCAAAGTGCTGTGCTGTCCCAAACAAACCAATCTTCGCAAGCCGAAAAGAAACAACGCCGTGCTGTCTCAAAAAACAACCCATTACAGCATTTTCGGTTTAAACTTGTGGGAATACGTATCTAACGAGACAGCGCAACCCTGTCGGTTCGATTCGTTTGATAGACGCCATCATGGTTTAAAATCAGGGTCTGGTCTTTAGCCAAATTCAACTTACAGGGTTGCACTCTTACTTTCTTGATATTCTTTCCCTGAAGTTTCATTAAGCTTGAACGGCCGAGAATATTGGAAGATAATGAAGGACAACAATTCGGTTGTGCCAAATAGTCATGACAATCACGGGCTAGTTTCTTTTGGTAATTAGGGGCCAATTATACTGCTGAATTGCCAACAACATGGCTTGCTGTTCAAACGATTGTTTGGCACAGAGGTTGTCCCAATGGCTGTCCTTCATACTCTTCTAATATTCCCGGCTATTTAAACTTGAGGGAATGAGTATCTGCCTAGTAAGAGCGCAACCCTATAAGTTCAATCGATTTAATGGACGAGATCATGTTTTTCAGTTGCAGACCAATGAGGGGCCAATTATACTAGTCGTTGAATTACCAACATGGCTTGCAGTTCAAACGACTATTTGGCAAAGCGGTTGTTCCAGCAGCTGTCCTTCATACGAATGAGTATCTGCCTAGTAAGAGCGCAACCCTATAAGTTCAATTGGCTTAATGGACGAGATCATCTTGTTCAGTTGCAAGCCATGGGGTATCTAAATTCAACACACAGTATATACCTAGCCTACAACAACGATTATTTGACACACTGGTTGGTGTCGTGCTTCATTCTCTTCCAATATTCCCGGCTATTCGAACAGTATAACTTTATCACTTCAACTTGCCTCCAATCATGTGAACCAATTTAGCCGAACTACCGACATTTTCAAAATGGAGTGGGGAACTATTATGCTTAGGAGTTTTTCTATAAAATAGAGGTCAAATATGTCGATGCATTCCGCACCACGTCAGAATTGCCCATTGCTACTCGTAGTCAATCATTAACATACATCTTTACACATTACAGTATTGACTGAAGAATCTAGATCTCTGGCTTGGGTGTGGCGAACTGTGCACCCAAACCATGACCAAGTTCTACAAGTAAGTTGCAGAGGCCCTTCGAAACTCAATCGACTCGTGGAGGGCGTCACTCTACAAATCTGTATTACATGAGCACACCTGTTGAAACAGCCATTGGTTCAAACACGTGTCCAACATCGCAAAAAGCTAGGCGCATGAGGGGTAGCATATATGTATATATACATATGTGTATATATGTTTGCCCATCCCCCCCCCCCCCCCAATTGTATAGGCGACAGAAAACTGTCACTGCAAGCTGTAAAGTTATCGTGCTAGCTGCTAGGCGTTCAAGATTTGGGAGCTTGGTGTAACCTGTGTGAATGATGAATGTAGCGACTCTCACCAGGCCGAGATTATCCACCACGCAGAAGCCGCCACCCGGAATCTTTGGAGTCGCAGTTGCCACCAGAACCTACTCCTTACCGTACTTGTAAGAATCCACGCCTATATACATTTACAAGTACAAATTTCTCTTGGGGCCCTAGCCGTGTTACTTCTTTTCGAAGGAGTATTGACTGTATTGACTGCAGCTCGCATGCATATAATCGTGGCAGGGCAGCAGGGATCCTCTCTCAGGTATTCTTCAAATTCTTTGAATCATTCTCTCCTCTGCACTTGCTTTGCAAAGTTTTGTTCGGTGATTCAGGGCCTGTTGCTGGCGCATCGCCCAAGTGAGGGAGGTGAGTCAACTCGTCGAAGCCGCTGCGGCAAATCATGGGGCCAAGCTTGTTTTGTGATCGCTGGAACATTCCGCCAATGTTCATCCCACACTTCTTGTCGAAAGGAGCCGTGGTCCCGAAGTGCTGTAGCCCGAAGTTGATGTCCACCCCGACATTGAACTTCAGCTCTAGAAATATTGGAATCTCGCCGTTGCTGAGGAATTGCTCAGCCAAGGCACCAGAGGAGTCTTTGGAGATTCGGCTGTCCATGAACACTTTGATGGTTCCTTGTCCTTCTGCTGGAAGTACCGAGCCTTCCAGAAGTGTCAGCACACCAACATTTGTACCTTCAGGGGTTCTGCAACGCGAGGCAATCGGCCAATGGATCGAATCAGCCAACAGTCAACAGTCCAACCACGACATCCACCCGATCTAGCCCATCCATGCAACAAGCTGACTACCAGACAAACAGAGACAAACCTGACCCACCGAAGCGCTATTCACCCCCGCCCCCACGCCGAGGTTTCGGTGGATACGAGGGATAGTACGGGGTCTGAGGGGTCAGCCTTGTGAGGGTTAGCTTGCGTTCTGGCCTCGATCTTTTCCAACGAAGACGTGGCCTGGCGTATCATTCAGAATCTTGACGTCGTACGGATTGGGATTGGAGCACAGCACGTGAATTTCCACACCAACGTGAATAGAGTCGCCCACTTCAAACTTCTTCAACAGAGCCGTTTGATCACCACAGGATGTGGCGGTGTAGACAGGGGTAAATTTGATGAATAGGTACGTGTTAAAAACTCCGTACAGTAGCAGCAGCACTCCAAGGCAGTGTCCGCATCCGGATTCATGGAATGGCCGGGACGTCATCTCTCGTGGACACTTGAGATCCAACAAGGGCTTGGGCCCGGGTTCACAGGGTGAGATGGTGTGCAAAGCGGCAATGCGTCCAAAGGTTCAAGCAAACTGAAAAGCTCTCAGGATCCTAGGCGCACGCATCTCGCAATGCATCGGATCTGGTCCGCAAAAGGATCCTCACGAATCCGACGACTCTTCTCTTCTCCATACGTGCCAGCGCATTGTACATGTTCCACATGTGTCTTCCGATGGTTGTCGGAAGAAGTCTTGGGCCCTCGCGAACGATCAACACGTTCTCCTCCAGTGGCTGCCGTGCGAGGATTGACTTTTGGACCTTTTGCTTGGATTCCGGCGGGCTTGAGGTCTCGATGAATGACCTGATGCTCTCGTCGATTGCTCTCGCTACTGGATTTTGCTAAGCTTACTCGCTTCAAGCTTCAAGATCGTGAAGCTACATCTGGGCTGTGAAGGCTGCGAGAGGTCTTTTGAACATGACACGAGAGGTCCTACGTGTTTTTGGAAAGCGGCCTTGTGCGAGTGCATGTAGGCGATGCCGCCCAGCAACTGCAAGGACACGTGCCTGGAAGACAAGCCGACACACTTCAGCTCAATAGAGAGCAATGTGCATCAATGCGCATCCATGCACATCTGCTTTCGACCCAATGCGTTCCGTTCCTGTCCTAAGTCCTTCGGTCGAGAAATGGTGCTTTCCGATCCCTCATCTCCCGTCCCTCCGGAGTGCCTGGAAGCGTGCTCGGAACCGAGGCCCACTCCGGGCTCCAGCTTGCTGTGCAAATCACCGCCTCCAGAAGAAAGCTTGAAACACGACTGACAAGAGAGAGAGAGAGAGAGAGAGAGAGAGTGGGAGTGGCATAACCAAACTAAGACAGCGAGACCGCAATAACTTAAGGCAGCCCGGCTTGTGCCAATGTGTCGACCGTGTACTGCGCGTACTGTGCTCTCGGCTTGTTCGCAGACTTGTTCATGCGTCATCATACATCTATATGCATGTGTGCGGTGTCACCTGGCTGCGGAATCGGCATATGCGTGAGCCACCAGCGTGACTTCACTGTGACTTCACGGCAGCGCCCGGCCTCGTGCGAGGTCCATGACGATGTAGCACAAGTTTCCTTCCCAGAATGCCTGCTCCAACTTTAAAGAGCTATGCAGGCATGTGGAGACCTGGGGACATGCCATACTGACTTTGCGGTAGCGGCATCTGCGCTATTCACATCACCAGGCGTGTGTTAATGTGCCGTATCTCTGCGGCAAGCTTAGAGACTCGTCTTCTAGGTCAACAGGCCGGGCAACCACGGTGGCTCATTCCTCCGGTGGGCCGTCTACTACCGACATAGAGGCGGTGGCTTCAGCGGATTCAGACCTGAAGGTCCCCATGGATTCCATGCTGCCAGGATGGGAAGATGGCATCCTGCAAATGCCCTCAATGCCTCGAAAGCTCGTTCGCCGTGCTATCCGATATCTCATTCTGTCTCGTCGCCTACGGAAATTGAACATCGCGCTCCCGCCTCGGTCCCATGCGCATTGCTTCCATCGGGCGCTTTGCATGTTGTTTTTGGGCTTGCCGTGTTGTTGCTCAGGAGCGTGACGAGGACTCGTTTGGATCGTCGGGGTGGTGCCACTCGTCCGTTCGTCCGTCCTTCTGGAATTTGCAGTTCGTAGTGTTTCAGTTCGTGCTGCCGCCACACTGACGCGAACTGTCCAACGGTCTCGAGTGTGTGTGCCCGCCACATTCCAATGCACATGCGCTCTCGCGTTGCTGCGCTGCCTTGCATGTTGATGCGAACGTGCTCTTTGCGTCAATTGCTTGATTTGGGCTATGGGCTATGGAGACCATGTTGGTCCAGACACATGTCAAATGTGTTGATGCATGCTCCTTGAAACATGGCTTGGCGGCTTCGCATGGTGTTGATTAGCATGGGTGGGTGCTCGCATACCAGCGACACTGCACGATGACCAATAGTCATCGGAGCACTGCGTCTTCATGTGCTCAAAGCACAATAAAGACCAATATTCTTGTGGGAAGATGAAACAAGAACCCAGAAACCAAAAGCCCAGAAGCTCTAATAACAACACGCGCAGACAAAAACCGCGGAAGGAAACCCGTACCGTAATATGAGTACCGCCGGCAGCAAAAACTAGCAATCCTGCAGCAATGCATGAGACGGCACAAGATCCCAACCTCCTTCAAGTTAACTATTCGCGGATGGTGAAGCCTTGGGGCAATTTGGGGCAGGCTTGAGCAGCTTGAGCAGTCACCTCAAAGCACTGAGATCCAGACTCCCGCATGACGCTGATCTCTCGCCTACAGCAGGGAGAATGAACAAATGAACCGGCAAATGAATGGGCAGTGGCCTCAAGCTTGCCACTGTCCGTTCTCGAAGCCCTATAGCTTTTGTATTCACAACCTGACGCTACGACACAGCGTCTGCGCTCCTTGACGCTTTCGAAGATCACTGCGTGATACTGCGTGTGTTAACAACGACCGCTTGCCTTCACAGCATACTCATTTCCGGTCCCGAGTCGCTTGCACATGTACACCCGACCTCTGGAAATCGCTTCAAGAACTACAGCATACTGCAACATACTGCAACGCACTGCAGAAGCGATGGTACCTTGAGACCCTCCTCCCAGCTCTGTCCCCAGTTCGAAGCTGTCATCTTGCAAGCCGAACCTTGCGCTCTACTGGAGAGTCCGAGACAGCTCAAGAGACAATCTGATGCAACGTGTTCCCAGACTGGAGGCCTGGTTCCCTCAGCCGGAAAGGCGCTTCGGGGTGGCACCATGACGAGAATTTAAAAAAGTTTTCAAGCTAGTAAACAACGCTGTGGGCAACCTTGGGCTTGCATGTCGCCCCAGCGGCCGCTTCTCGCCGAGCTTCTTATGCGTTCATCGGCAACATGAATTTCATGCAGTGCTCCGGTGCGGGCGGTCAGAACAAATTAAAGACGCGGCGTAACTTGGTTGATCTTCCTGCAAACAGGTGATGCCGTGATGCCATGTCACGTTCTCAATACCTGGCGTGTATGGCAACCATTGCAATGTTTTGGTGTCTTCATGCCGGCGGATGCTGTCGATACGATGCAGACGCACCTTAAATCATTTAGGCACATGCCGGAGGTGAGACTGGGGTGTGAAGATGTGCAAGCTTTTGGCACATTGAAATTGCAGCTGCCTGCAACATTGTGAAACTGCTGACGTGCGATGCCACAAAAAAACAGTGCACTGTGCGACTACGAATCTTCTGCTCGTGCGACCCTGCTGCCTGTTTATGTCTACTTGCATCATGCAGCACTCTTCTTGGAAGCTGCTTCCCTGAGCGAATGGGGGCGCGATCACGGCCGTCTTCCTTTGATTCCTGGTGTGGCATGGCGTGGCCTTGCAAACTTCAAACAGATTCGGACTCATCCCGGCATTGGCCCGGCATCTTCGGAATCTTCAAAAGCCTTTGAGGGCAGCACGCTCCAGCAACGATGGGCTCCCCCCATTGCCGCTGGGGCAGGCCAGGCGCCATCTGCCTTGGGCGACAACAGCAAGAGGGACCTTACTTGGACCTTGCAACTGCGTGCAGTAACAGCCAAGGTTGGTGGGAAGCCAGGTGCACGCACCTGGAAGGAGAAGGGTCGCGCACGTGGCCGCCTTCCATGCCTCAACGACACAGGGCTCGCCCAAAGCAGAGAACCGAGGCCCACACAAGAAGTTTAGTCGATGATGTGCACTAAGGCGTATCAGCGTCAGCGAAACCCTCTGCTTCCTCAAAAGGTGGTGCTGGGTTGCAGACAAACGCTGGCTCCAACACCCTTCAATGCCTCGGTTCCATCTCTTGGCAGCACGATCCAGAGTGATCGGTTCGCGAGGCTACCCAGCGAACAGAAGGGACGGGCGGGATTTTGCTGCCAATGTCGAGAAGACAAACCTGTCTGCACATTCTTCGCAGACCAAATGCAGCCTACGGATTCCACAGAATACTGTAGAACCCACGCAGCTAAGTCCTCTGTCACAGTATCAGTCTATATCAGTGTGAAACCAAGTCTGTCTGAGTTGCTGATGGTTTTCCTACTTGTTCTACTGGTGGGGTCGCATCGACCATGATGTGGGCGCCCTGTTATCCCTCTGCCCCGCTTCGCATGGAGACAATTGATGCTGCAGTTCGTGGGCCTCACCTACCAAGCGCGAGCGTGAAAGCCGTGCTTTGTTTTACATTAAACATCACGGTACATTAGGAGGTTGAAATTTATTCAGCTGAATCACATGGCTCTTCCTTGATAGTGTTATTGTGCAACTGTGCACCCCGCTGCGCCCCTGCCTCCCTCGTCACTCTCAGCATGCTCCCTTCTTGCCTCACACTCCGAGCAGGCACATGTCACTACGCCACATTGCAGAACAGTGGCCACTACCTCGCTCTGGATACTCGGCGACTTCTTCATCTGCGGAAGTCATTTGCAACGACGTGCAATGAATGACGGACAACCAGCAGATGTTCTCTCGATCGAAGGTGCCTCCATGCCGGGTCCGCCGGCCTTCGTATGCAGAGCTGTATGCAGAGTGCCAAATCAGTGGCTTGGCTCACACCCCATCCGCACTCGGCTCTCTGCCTCGGCTCGTGTTCCTTTCGCCTGCTCCTGGTGGCGCATACGAGGCTTGGCACTGCAAGCCAGGCGGTGCAATGCATTCCGTCCTCTCGGAGCATTCTCCGAATTTCATACTGTATCAGCGGCCGCTGCAAGATCTCCTGCTGCTGCCGCAAACTTTCGGCCAACAGTGTCTTGCGTTTGACAGCACTTGTTCGACGCATGAAGGTGAGATATGACATTGGAAGAGCCCAACACATGCGAGGTAAACTGTCAGGACAACACTTCTTACAGCATACGCTTGGTTCTGGCCACCTCTCATTTCGCTACCCTTCAACTGCCTCAGCAAGTCTTGTCTCCTGCGCACTCGGCCTCTGAGTTTGTTCACGGTGTAGCAAGTCGCCACCTCAAATTGTTGTCATCTCACTACAAACCAAGGACAGTGTCGAGCTGTTCGCACTTGCAAACCTGCCACTCTTCTCCTAACTAGCAGCCTTGCTACTAGATGTGGAGCTGCCAGCCTACTGTCGCTGCGATGGCAACTTTTGCCCATCCGTTCAGTGAAAACCAAACAGCAAGACATGGCGCAAGACAACATCGCAGGCCAGGTCGGGTTCCATGTCTTGTTTTGGGGGGGGGGGGGGGGGGGGGGCAGGTCAAGGTTTGAATCTGAGCTTTTCGCAGAGATGTCTCAAGTCGGGCGAGTATGAGTTCGGCAGAACCGGCGTTGGTCCTCGCCTGGGCTCAACAGTTTGGGGACCTGTCTATAGGTGCTGAGAAGTAAACCAGTAAATCTGACTATTCAGCAGGGCCCATCCAACGAGGCTGTCCAGACTTGTGGGAAGTGTGAGGGGACGCCTTGACAGCTGGGCACCACCATTGCTTGTGAAGCTAGATCGGAGTGCTCAGTACACTTCAGCACACTTCAGCACAGATTGTGGAGAGTGAAGTTGACAAGGCACTTAGAAACTTAGTGTATGTTAAACTGTGACACCCACACACACACCAGAACTACAAATTCAAGCCACCTCAAGCTTAGAACTTGAAAAGCCGAGGCACGTTATCTTCTGAACTAGCGATTGAAGACTCGTTGCCTGAGGCTCAGAGCCGCTTCCGCGTTGCAGTGATCGCAGCGCAACGCAGCCGCCCCGAGCTGTGCACATCGAAGGGTACCCTGAGACAAGCCAGCTCGTAGAGCACACATCCCAAGGCCTGAGAGCACCAACCCAAAATGCACTGCAACTAATGCATGTTTCTACTCTCAAAGACTCTGACCCAGATGTCGCTGCTGAATGTGTAGGGCTTCTCCAAGCCTCTGTTGCCCAGGATTGGTCCGACTCTTTTTTGAGATCAGAGAATTGAGTTTGCGAAACCTTCTTTGAAACGGCATCCGAGGACTGTAGCAATCTGTAGCAATCTGGGACATGGGCAAATCTCGGGACTCAAGTAGTACGGAGTGCCAATCGTTGTCTTTGCGAAGGCAACTGTGCTTTCCAATACCTGTGCAGCCGTCAGCAGAGTCGGCACGTGTGCTGAGATCCATGAGCCGTGACGAGCCGTGCATGCTGAGGCAGATGCTCTTGAAATTCCAAAGTCGCCTATTCGGAGGCGGTCCTAGCAGTGCGTTTGATGAATTTTGCCCTGGCTACTGTAGCAGCGCATCGGAGTAGTGTGGTGCATGAAGAAAGAGAGAGCCAATGCGTTCTGCATCCTGAGCAGTCAAGAAGAGGTTCTGGCTCTTCAAGTCTCTGTGCAGCACATGCTTGTCCTGCACGTGCAGCTGAGCGAAAAACGGTTTGCTTGCCTCATGCATACAACCAGCGACCGGGATCTGTCATGCAAGTACTTGAGAGCCAATGCCGCTTCTGTCAGCCACCTGCGTTGACGAGAAGTTCGGGTGACACAATGCCTTCAATGCACTGCGCACACAAAACTGGATCCCATGTACGGAAGTGTGTACGAGCCTGACGATCCTCTCCTCGGAGAAGACTTTGCCAGCTTGGCGAGTGCGCTGGATTCGCTGATGAAGGTCCCCACCATCTGCATAGTCCATGACCTCTGTGGCAAATGTGGCAGTTCAAGCGCCCGAATCAGTCACATGCTGTCACATACCTCATCCAGCACCTTTGTCCGAGCGGCAATGGCCAAGTTTCGGCCTTCTGACATGTAGCTTTCCCTGTATGACCTGATTAGAATATCCATGGCTATCCCTAGATGCACGAATTTCAGGAGAGCACAAGTGAATCGATCACGGATAGCTCTCGGATGCGGACACAATATATGGGTGTTTCAAGGAAGAAAGCACACGCACCTCGTTGATGGCATCCTGTGCGTCCAAGACTTAGAAATGAAGCTATTTAAAACCAGGGAACATCCAACAAAGGAGTATTTCTGAAGCCATATTTGCCATCATTACCTCGCGGTGTCTCGTTGCATGGCACTCTCGACATAACGGCTGAGCTCAAGCCGGTGTCCTTTCTCTGCTTGGGATCCATTCGGCTCATGTCGATGATCTTCATCACATAGAGCTTGCTTTCTTTGTCCTCCGGAGTTTAACTCAGGTTACCTCTTAGTGCAGAATTTGACACCTTAGGCAGCTCCGGTCCTGTACAAGAATCGCTTTGCCATAGCTGCCTAGCATCGGGGTTCTTGCCAGGTGCAGGCTCACGTGACTCATGTACCCTCAAGCACCTGATCCAATGTCCTTTATCTTTGTATAGCCCCTGGACGATGTCGTGGACTCAGAACTCATGGCACCTGAGTCAAATGGATGTCACCCCTCGTGGCTGAACTCAAGTTCGGGGAAGCATTTGCAAAACTTCGCACAAGCGAGACACGGCTGATGAATTCGCGGAGATGAAGACATAGAGTATGCAAGTCGGCTGTGTGTTGCCACGAAGCTCTCGTGAACAAAAATCCCCTGGTTGCAAGTTGCGCTCAAGCTGCTGGTAGGTGTGTGTGTGTGTGCTTTCCGATGTGTACTTGCAGGGTGGGTGGGTCTGTTGGATGTAGCACTGGTTCTTTATGATCTGCATTATGTTTGCCTGCTGCCCTCGTCTGTATACTTTGTGTTACTTCAGCAATCTCCCACATTTGTGCTGCACGGGCTGTCATGTTGCGAAGTGATAGGAATACCGGCTTCTGGGCCAAACTGATAACGTCAGGTTGCCAGGACACCTGATGTCACATGCATCTGTCACAAGCCATGTGCGAACGGCCTGGAAGGGTCGGGGGTTGGCTGCTGGACTTTGTGTGGAAGTCGGGCTGTCATTTCTGCTCGCGCCAGCGATACCTCGCCTGGCTTCTACCTGGCGTCCGCGGTCACAGCACCTGGCGGAAAGATCTGCGGGGAACTGTCCTTTTCAAAAGCCTGGGCATCTGTTGAAGGTCCTGAAGACATGCTGGCAGTTCCTTGTTCAGCCGCAGTTGTCCCCTGCAATGTCAGATGCACGTGTAATCAAAAGCTAAGCCAAGGCTCCTGATGTCTGCATTTGGGGCAATACTCAAGTGGCAGCCCCGCCGTCAGCCAGCTTGGAAGGAAACTTGGCAACCAACCCGGCTCTGAGGGTACCTCTGAGAGACGCTGCTGTTACTTCCGGAGGGCAGACAAAAGCAGTTGATGAAAGCGCCATACAGCAGAACGCTTGGGGCTACTGAGGTTAGTGGTTTAGCATCGACACCCACGAGTTTGAAATTTGAAGCGTTAAAAGGGCAGTTGAAACTTTGGAGTTTGAGGTATTGAAAGATTGAAGAACTTGACGCAGTTTGAAGTTGACAGTCTGAGCCAAGACGATGATTGAAAGTTTGAAAACTTCGAAACAAACGTCGAATTTGAAGAGATATTGCAAGTTTCAGGGTGCGACAGCTCGAGAGGTTGACACCGGGCTTTTGAGAGCTTGAAGATCGGAGATTGTAAGCCCGCGAGTTCGGAGGTTCGAATCTTCGAAGATTTCACGAAACAATCTTCGCAAGTTCGCAGCTTTGAATGCTTCGGCGACTCAAGGCTTGGACGCTTGAGGCAACGTGAGCTTGACCCAATGGTCAAAAACTGGTAAAAAAACAGCTACCAAGCAGAGCACTGCGAAGTCGAAACTTAATATGTGCTGAATTTTGTGGTCGCGCAAGTAGAACACGTCAGAGGCCGAGAGTAAAGTGAGGGAGAGGGGCGAGGGTTAGAAAGTGATGGTGCAGATGAGGTTAGTGAGTGTGCGAGAGGGTGAGAATGGAGTCGGCGTGGAAATGGGAGTGAGTCAAGGGCAATGAGCCAAGAGTGAAGGCGAGAGAAATTTAAGGTGACCGCAAGAGGCCCAGGGAGGGTGAAGATGAAGGAGAGGGCGACCCTGTTCATATACCCAATCTCGTTGAGTGGTCGTCCACCAAGCCCCACCCCCCAGATAAGTCCGTGTTGCCTAGGCTAGTCTGGGTGGAGTATTGCTGAGGCGATCGGGACTGAAAATCAAAGCATGCTCGAGCTGACGGCTGCAAAGAACAAGAAATGTTACGGTGTCGCCGCCCTTGCCTCGGGCTCATTCGCTGGCAAAGCGACCTGGCAGCAACAACTAGACAAGCTTCTGCAAATTGATGGCAGTTGAGCGGGAACAGTGCGGCCTCAGTTGCCACCGGCAGAGTGGAAAGCATTTGGCGGAGCTTGGCATGCTCGGCCAGGTCTTCTGCAGAGTTGCTCCGCCTGGACTCCGTACGCTCTGAGTCCGTACACATTTCAGAGCATCTCAGAGTTTTTTAGCCTCATGCTTTCTTGCTAAAGTAAGGCTGGGAGCGAAGCACTTGGGCCAGTTCTTCCATGCCTCGTGCTTCCTGCTCCTCAGCCTCCTGCAATTTGTAGGACAGAAAAGGAACACCAAGAACGGCATACATCTGCGCCTGCATCTCAACTTTCAGCACTGCCACAACGCCAGGCTGCCTCGAGACTAGATGAAAAATCTTGTCTGTCGAAGACAATCCAAGCCAACATGCGGCATACACCGTTCTAGAGCAGCTTTTGAAGCAGCTTTTGAAGCAGCCCACTCGTCGTCTCAGAGCCCAGCTCTTGAGCACGCCTTCGTGCGATGGCAGCGTGAGCCTCTCGACTCTGAAAGGACAGTTGTGCTCAAAAGAACGGAGCAGATCAGTGTGCATATGCCAGGTGTTCTCTCGCAAGTCTCACTTGCTGACTGCGGCCTCACCAAGCTCGGATGCAAGTTCGCGGGCACGGCTCCACGCAGTGTCGCAGGAGTCTTTCAAGTCCTACATGGCACATTAGGGCTCAGGGATTCGAAAGTACATAGTCTTGTCGTACTTTCGCACGTTGAGCGCGAACCAGCTCAACCTGGAGGCAGGTGCGCTCTCATCTCCCAAATCCCCCGCGGCGTGTTTCCAAGTGCGTGCTTCCAAAGCTGTGTTCCCGTTCCCTTTCCTCCTCCCCTTGTCCTTGATTTTCGACTGCAGTTTCGTTCAGCCGGCATGCCTGTTACCTTGCTGTTACCTGAAAACCTGTGATCTGGCATCGGACTTGGACGCATTGGAATCATTGGACTCTTTTCGCGACGACTTCGGGCGGCCTTTCTTCGAACTCGTCTCAAGGCCCAGACTTGGTCTCAGAGGCCGAGGCGCTTCAAGGTGACCGGTGCCCAAGACGCTTGTTAAGGTGCTGCTAAGATCTGTTCCAAGATCCTCAGTCAATTTGCCACTCTCTGCAATGAAGGCAGGCGCATCAAACGTCTGACATGGGCTCATATCTGCTCTTTTAGCCTTTACAGTCCTAGGTAGTCCTCGCATGATCTCGCATGTGCCCGGAAAGGTGCACAACCAAACTTGTGTTATGTCGTATGAGGCTTCATCTCCTTGTATTCGTTCGCGGCCCGAGCACTGCTCAATGACCTGGCTAGGCATATCACCAATGATGTCTTTAGCAATGGTAGCAACCTCCTGCAGCCTGACAGTGACATGTCCCACATGTGACCGGCAACTACAAAGCAGCTAGCAGCTAAAAGCCCACTCAGAAGCACATTAATTATGACTCTCCTCTATTGGGCAAACCAGCTTTTCAAGCCTGCAGGCGAGGACTTGTCTCAGCTCATCGCGCAAGGCCTAAGCTTGGACAGACAGCTGCCTTTGGCCGGCGAAAGAACGTATGCCTTTCGACTTGGCCTGACAGTAGCCACCTCCACTTCTTTGTGCACACAGTGCGTCTGAGGACCGGCTACGAAATCATTTTAAATCCATCGCCGCTTGCGGCGCAGTCCGCAAATCTGGTTCTGGTGAGGTTGCGTTGTTCTGATACGGCAGTGCTGAGCCCAGCACCTGTTCACGCCGACGGCCTCACTGGCAATAACACTGGCAAGAACACTGGCAATAACTCGGAAAACGAGACATGGCCCATCATGACTCTCTCTTTCGACAAGGCCTGCTGCTACTCGTCTCTCTATTGCCTGCACTGATGGTACAACGAGATTGTCTGTGAGTAGCTGAAGCAAGCTGCACGGTTGGTCCTCGAGGTTGGCTGACAGCTCCGACTTTCGCTCCTGCACGCCCAACGCTTTGCAAAACCATTGTAGAGCCACAGCGCTTAACTGCTTACCCTGAATGCTGATCCGCGATGTGCATCCTGCCAAGGTTGAGAATTGTCGGCTTACAAATATCATCCAACGGTCCCACACCTGGCAGATAGTCTACGTTTCGTCGAAAACTCAGACCAGCTGGGAAGAAAGGAAGCCCAAACAAAACACGCAGGAAATGGTTGACTGCCAGGTTGCTTGGCTGTGACATTTTGTGCGTGGCATCCAGGTCGCAGCGGAAAATAGAACGAAAAAAAGAAGAAAGAAGTGAGCATCAAGCCTCCAGAGAATTGGATCTTAAGTGAATGAGATGAATACATGACATCTTTGGCTTCGTGTTGGCACTGGGAAACCAAACAATGAAGTGACTATAACTACAGAGAAAATTAGAAGCGCAAAGAAGATACCGAAATTGTACTCATGAATTCCTTGATAATAGTTCGAAGAGCTCTTTAATGATTGGATTCTTAATGCAAGATGCTGGAGACTTGGAAAGGAAACGCGATGAAGACTCAACAGGGGGTACGAAACCTTTAGTTACGGGGTGTTTGGACAACACTGCCAAGAACAACGAAGAGACTCGAAAGCTTAAGGTTTTTAAATTTATGAGCCCATCATTCTGTTGCTCTTCTTTGTGAGCCCCCGCAGCCCCATGCAGTTCAATCTGAAAAGACAAGCAAAACATTCCCAACTACAATTGTTCATTGTCTCACGTCCTCGGAAGGTGGAAGCGCCTCGCCCTGTGTCGGTGTCCTTGCGTCCTTCGCTGTCTTGGTGTTTGTGTGACAATTCGCCATACATTGCAGCCCTCTGAGGTTCGCACAGCGGACCTCAGTCGCAGATCTTAGCACTTTAGGCTGGTATTCATTCGAGTCTAGTCTGCAAAAAGCAAGTCTGAGAAACTCGGTGCAGGACCTCTCCCTTAGCAGTCGCCGCTGCATTGCATGCAGCTCGCTTTCTTTGGAGGCCTGGGATTACGGGTGCACTGCAGGATGGCAACAACTGCCTTTTGCGAGTACCGCAGCGTTGACCTAAAGGGTAGGAGTCCCGCAACTTGCTGATTCAGAGACTCCCACGTGGCCTTACGATAACGCATTCTGCACATTCCCGAAACTTGGATGTGTTGTGTGCACCACATCAGCAGTATCAAGGGGTCCTGGAGATTGGCTGCCGTCCGGTGGAACTCCTCGATTTCGGA